CCGATAGTCCAGCCCCTGGGGAGCCACCAGCCACGGTGCAGGAGATGTGCACAGTGCCAGGCACGCTGCCAGGAGTGTCACAGGGCAAGATGTAAAAACTTCCCTGGCCAGAAACCATCCCTAGTTCTTCGTCCTTCATCCTTCATCTGTCCTCCTTCATCCCTCCTCCCTCCTCCTTCATCTCTCATCCTTCATCCCTCCTCCCTCCTCCTTCAGTCCCCATCCTTCATCCCCCCATCCTCGCCAGCCAGCCAGCGCCGGGCACTGATACAAGGTGAGCAAAGAGGCCAATGAGTTCCCTCTGCAACTGTCAGCAAATAAAACATGGCAAAGTCCATTATTCCCCCTGCTGGTTTTTTTTCCCCCCTCTTCTTTAATAACCGAAAACAATCCCAGCCCTCAGGCGAGCGAGCGTGACTGTTCTGGGAGCATTAATCATCCCCTGGGAGCCCAGCGCGGGTTATCGCTGCTGTTTATCCAGCCTGCTATTAAAAAACCACCATAAACGCGCCTTCAGCGTCTTCTGAAAGAGATTAAGTGTTTGCACGGGCTGTGCCGTGATCCTATCGCCCGCCCCGCTCAGCAAAGTTCTGATGCTGGCAGGGAGGAGGGACAGGGTGACTTAATTGCTGCCAGGAGGAGAACCAGAGCCTTTTCCAGCTGATTCACAGCCTGGGAAGGAGCCAAGTTCTTTGTCCCAGCTGGGAATCACCTATTTTTCAGCCTTCCCAGCACACCAGGGAATTGGGGATCAACCCCCCTGATGAGATGCAGTGCTTAGTCCTGAGCCACCCCTCAGCCACCCTCTTGGCAGCCACAGAGCCCTCCAACGTGACTGCTATTTTTTTTTCTTATATTTGGTGAAAAACTGTCCATTTTGCCCCAAGTTTGGGGTTTCTCGCGGAACAGCAGTAGCTGAGGTTGTTTCAGGCAGCAGCTCGGCTCCTCTGAGGCAGCTGGGCTCTTCAATCGCAGTTCTCCAGAGAGGCATCTTGCAAATTAGCATTTCTTAGCAATAAAAATTTGATTTAAGAAGGAGACCAAAAAAAAAAAAACCAAACCACACACACACACACCAACAACTCAAAACCAACCAACCAAAAAAAGTTAGATCAGCAAAATGGTAATTTGATAATCTGTGGCGGAGGGAAGGGAAAACACCTGCACCAGGGTAGGGGGAGCAGTTGGGGAAGGACAGGAACTGCTGGTTTTACCATGAATTATCAGTTGATGGTGCTCCTACCAATCCCCGGGTGCCTCATGACAAAGCTGGAGCAGGTGCCAGGCTGATAACTGGGGAGCTGGAGCAGCACCCGCTGAGCCACTTCAGCTCACTGATCTGAAGGAAGCTGTGCGAGCCTCGAACATCCCTGAGCATCCCATAGCATTCCAGAGCATCCCTGGGCAGCCACAAGCATCCCTGAACATCCCAGCAAAACTCCACGCATCCCTGAGCATCCCTGAGCAGCCACAAGCATCCCTGAACATCTCAGTGAAACCCCAAGCATCCCTGAGCATCCCATAGCATCCCTGAACATCTCTGAGCAGCCACAAGCATCCCTGAGCATCCCAGAGAAGCCCCAAGCACCCCTGAACATCCCTGACCATCTCTGAACATCCCTGAGCAGTCTCGAGCAGCCCCAAGCATCCCTGAGCAGCTCCAAGCATCCTTTGGCATTCCTGAGCAGCACCAAACAGTCCTGAGCATTCCTGACCATCCCTGAGCACCCCTGAGGAGTCCCAAGCACCCCTTGGCCCTGCAGATCCACACCAGGGCAGCCAGCACTGGCTCTGCTCCCCGACGGGCACGTTCCCATCCCGGCAGTGCCGGCAGGATTTCATTACCACCAGCTCAGGGAAAGCTCAGGCAGATTTAATAAAGCCTTTATGCCCCTGGCAATGCCTTTAATTAAAGAGCTGGTTACAAATGGCTGCTGCTCCCTGGTAAGAGGAATTCAGCAGTGAAGGGGCTCGTTTGTCCTTGGATTGGCTGCCACCGAGGCCCCTCAGCAAACACAGCCATTGTCCCTGCTGTGTGGATGGGACAAGATCCATGTCCATGTGATCCCGAAGGACTGAGGGCAGCTCTGTCTCTTTGGCTGCTGGAAGTTGAGATAGTTCAGCTGGACACATTTATAAACATTTCTAAAGCTGTTTGGTATTGGGTTACAAAGTGCTGCTCTCAGCAGGGTGAAGCTTTATGTCTTACCAAGTATCCTAAAGGATGAACCCCCAAATCTCATCCCCTTCAAAGGCTTTTCCAAGGCTCTCAGCTGGGCCGTGGTGGAGGGAATCCTGCCCTTGCTCTGCCCAGCTATGACCATCCTGTACCAGCCACATCAGCCTGTCCCAGCCATGGCACAGCCTGAGGGCTCAAGGTGTGCAGTTTATGGTGGCTTTTATGACTTTAGCAGATTAACTCTGGTAATTCATTTCCTGATCAGTGATAAAGCCCGAGGAGAGGCTGGAAGGTGATAGTGGATCCTCTGGCAGGGCCGTATCCCACTTACCAGCCCCCACTTCCTGCTGACACGGGATTCTTCCTATGGGCAAAGCTCCAGGGTGGTGGCTCCAGGACTCTGCCCTGGGCTGCAGGGGGGCCTGGACTTTGCTGTTGGTGTGTCAGGTCTCCATCAGGCTCCGGGACCGCACTGAGATTTCAGCTCTGCTGGATCCCACCATGGTGGTGAGTTTGCAGTTCGTGAGGTTTGTGCCCCACGGAACAAGTCCCTGGTGGAGGTGGGAGGGAGGAGAATGTGAGGGGGATGTTGTGGGGAACTTCAGCAGGGGCTTTGGGGTGTCTTTGCTCAGGGGGTCTGGGTGGGTGAGAGCAGCCCAAGGGAAGGCCTGGGGAGGCAGCTCTGCACCCCTACACAGACGGTTACACCTGATCTCCTGCACCAGGGGAGCACCAGATCCCACCAGCCACTCCAGGTCCCAAGATACTCTGACTCTCATGGGTGATCTGGGGCAGAGGGTGCTCCGGTCCCTTTGGGGATGCAGCCTCAAGGATGCTGCCTATCCCAGCCGGTCCGTACCTGGTCCCTCTGGCTCCCACGGGTGATCCAGGGCCGAGGATGTTCCAGGTTCTCCAGGCGGGCGGTCCCTCCCTCCCCAGGGCGCTGCGCGCCGCGGGCTCCTGGTGACATCTAGTGGTGTCACACACAGGGACAGACACAGGGACAGACACAGGGACACACGGACACACAGACACAGGGACAGACACAGGGACACGGACATCAGACGGACACGGACACCAGACGGACACAGACTCTGCCGGGAGTACGGGAGCGGTCCGGGGGTGATGCTCACCCCGGTGCTCAGCGCTGCATCCCCCGGGGGTCCCGCAGCCGGGTCAGGAGGAGCCGGGATGGAGACACTCCCCATCTCCCCCCATTTCCCCTTATATCCCTTCTCCAGGCTTTTCTCCCGCAGGGATATCCCATGGGGAGCACAAGATGTGCCCGGCGGTGCTGGGGGGTCTCCTGTGGGGCAGATCGGGGTTGGGGGTCCCTGGGAACACGTCACTCCTCTGCCATCCCCTGACCCACAGGCCCATCCAAGAAGGGGATGTTTCCCAGTGTGTCCCCCCAGTGCTGCCGGGGGTGCAGGGACGAGCCAGACCCACACAAGGCCCAAACACAAATTGAATGGTGGCAAAGCTCCCGTGCAGGGGACAGTCCCTGGGGCTGATCCAGTGGGGTTTGGGGGGCCCTGATTTTGAGATGGGGTGTCACAGGATGCAGGGGCTCGGGTGGGTGCCTGGCACAGATGAAGGGGGGTGACACACACTGCCAGTGACTCAGTTCCTTGGGGACTGTGCCCGGAATACACAGATCCCCCTTTCACGGTGATCCCCCCTCTCAGTTTTGCAGCCCCCCTCCCCGCCCCGCCTGCAGTGACACCCTCCCTCTGCAGCCACGCTGGGGGTGCAGCCCCCCCTCGCTTTGCCATCACTCCGTTGCCGTGCCAACTGTCCCTGCTCAGACACTGTCACTGCTGGGCCTGGCGCAGGCAGCACCACCCGGCACCCACAGGTAGGGTTGGGGGCCCGGGGGGGCTGCGTGGGTGTCCATCTCCAACCCCCCTCAATACATCTCTCAGGTCCCCCCCCAGCTACGAACTGGAGCGAGCCCCCTCCCCTGCATGAGCCCACAGCCCCCCTCGAGAGCAGAGACCCTTCCTGAGGCCCCCCCAGCCTGCCGGGCTGTGGGATGTGCTCACGGCATCCCCCTCCCGGGACCACCGCGGGGGGAGGTTTAGGCAGAGGAACGCCCTCCTCCCCTCAAAAAAAATGGGGAGCACTTGGGAGAGGGGGACCGGGCTTGTGTTTGGGGATGTAGGGAGGGCAGAGCCGTGGCTGGGAGGGGACAGGCACGTCCCTGTCCTGGGATGGCTGGAGAAAGGGTTTGCTCACTTCCAGCTTTCCTGGTACTCAGTTGTGGCTAACAGGCAACTTGGAAGATCCCATTCCCAACAAATATCCGTGTCCCACTGCCAGTTGCCGTGGTTGGGGGGGTCATTCCCTGCCCCTCCATCCTCAGTGCTGTTGGGGACTGGGTTGACCCCCGTGTGAGTGCCGGCAGGGTCAGATGTTTGCATCTGGTGGGGGGAGGATGTGTGGGCAGGACCAGGGTACTCGGGCAACCATTTGGGACGCCCACAGGTACCAGCAGCCCCATGGCGTGGTGAGGGTTTGGGGGTGGCTGTTGTGCTGCGAGAGGAGCCTGTGCCTGTGCCAGATGCCCCCCCCCTCCCCAGCCTGGTCCCCCTGCCCGTCCCACAGAGCACCCCATGGCCCCGGGCAGTGAAGCTGGACACGGGCAGGCAGCCTTTGCAGTGCAACTTAATGGGATAAACCAATTCCCTTAACCCACTTATCTGGCTGATCCAATAAAGGTGGCTGGGAATAAAGTGTGTGCGTGGTCTTAATGCATCCTACATCCCCCCCCCCACCTCCACTCTCCCCCCGGTCCTGATAGCACTGTGGGTCTGTCTGCCGGGTGCTCCTCCCCAGAGGCAGCAGGGCTGGGGCACGGGGGGGATCCTGGGGCTGGGACCTGCTGGCTCTGGGTGACGAGGACGAGGAGAGGTGGCTTGGCAGTGGTGGAGGTGGCTCTGATCCATCGGGGGATAACCCAGCACAAAGCCTGACGCAGGTGCAGGGGGGGTTTGGGGGCTGTGGGGTGGGGGTCTGGTGTGGCCGTGGTTGGGTAGCACGTGTCTGTCCCTCCTCCCCCCCCCAGCACGGGGGTTCACTCAGCCCCATGTCCCCAAGGGCCATTGCTTTTGTCACAGAGGGGGTCCCCAGCAGTGTTGCTCATCCCTTGGCTGCCTTCCTATGTCAGGGTCTGGGGGTCGTTGTGGGGCTCTGGGGGTGGGTGAGCTGGGGAGGGGGCGAGGGTGGGACATGGGATGGGCATGGAGTGGGAGGGATGGAGATGGAGGGACGGGGAGGGATGGAGGGATGGGGATGGAGGGAAGGGGATGGAGGAACAAGGACGGAGGGACAGGCATGGAGGGACAAGGGTGGAGGGCTGGGGATGGGGCAATGGTGTGGTTAGAGGGCTGGGGCAGGAGAAATGGGGCAGGCAGGGCATAGGCAGGAGCACGCAGGTGCAGGAGGGTTGGGAAGAAGGACTGGAGCAGAGTGAAAGGGATAGGAGGGTTGGGAAGAAGGACAGGAGCAGGCAGGGGCAGGAGGGCAGAAGCTGGCAGCAGGAGGGTTGGGAGGAAGGACAGGAGCAGGAACAGGGGCAGGAGCACAGGGACGGGTGTGCCGTGGCCGCCGGGAGCCACTTCCAGGTGCGGGTGACGCAGCCACACCAGGAAGCTCCGGCTCCGGGCAGGTGAGGGCGGGGCGGAGGTGCCGGACCCTGCCCACAGCAGGACCCTGCCCCAGGTCCGGCCGGGACCCCGCGGGGCCCCCGCGGCTCCGCTGCCCGCTGCTCTGTGTCCCCGCAGGCTCCATGGACGGGGCGCCGCCGCCCGCCCGCCCCGCCGGGCTCTCGGCGTTCGTGGCCGTGTCGCAGCTGCTCGGCCTGACCCTCCTGGCCACCACGGGCGCCTGGCTGGGCCGGTACCGGGGCGGCGTGGCCTGGCACAGCCCCCTGCAGTTCAACGCCCACCCCCTGTGCATGGTGCTGGGCATGGTGTTCCTGCAAGGTGACGGTGAGCAGGGCGGCGGGACGGTCCCGGCTGCAGCCCCCAAAAACGCCCTGGAGCTGCAGCCGGGCAGGGAGAGAAGGGGACAAAGCGGTGATAAATGACACAGGGAAGATGCTCCAGGACCGCCTCCCCACCTGCGTGTGGCACCCCGGGGCGACGCGGGGTGCGGGGAGGCGGGGGACCCCCGGGGATGCTCATGTGTGCTCTCTCCGCAGCTCTCCTGGTGTACCGGGTGTTCAGGCACGAAGCCAAGCGCTCCACCAAGGCCCTGCACGCGGTGCTGCACGGCCTGGCCCTGCTCATCGCCCTCGTGGGTGAGCGCCGGGCTGGGGAGGCTGGGGGGGGCAGGATGTGACCCTGGTGTGCTGACGGGCTCCTCTCCACAGGCATCATCGCCGTCTTCGAGTCCCACCGGGCCAAGGGCACCCCTGACATGTACAGCCTGCACTCCTGGTGTGGGATGGCCGCCTTCGTGCTCTACCTCCTGCAGGTGAGGGCTGGGGAGCCCCCCCCGGGGGATAAAGGGCCTCTTCAGCACCTGTGACACCCCCTGTCCCCACAGTGGCTCTTGGGCTGCGGTTTCTTCCTGTTCCCCGGTGCCTCCTTCTCGCTGCGAGGCCGGTACAAGCCCCAGCACATCTTCTGTGGCATCGCCCTCTTCATCCTCTCCATCGCCTCCTGCTTGCTGGGCATCACTGAGATGCTCCTCTTCAAAATCAGGTGGGTGACCAAGCTGGGGGGAGAGGGTGGCCCCCCAGACCGCCCTGACCCCCAGCAATTGGCTGCTCCAGCCCCCTGGGTCAGAGTCTGGCCCCTGCTCAGGCTGCAGCTCTTAAATCTCCCCTGGAGGCCTTTAGTTCTGCTGCTGCTGAGTCACTTCCCAGATGATGTTTAACAAGGGCTGGATCCTGTGACAGGTTTCTTTGGGGATGGGAATACATTACCAGTGTCACCTCCCTGCAGCTGGGTGTTTGCAGAACCTTCCGGGGACACTCACGTCCCCGAGGCCTCTGCCCTTGCAGCTGCAGGACACAGTGATGTCCCCAGTGGGTTTCCCCCCAGCCCCAGGACTATGGGGACAGGGCCAAGGGGCACCCCAGGAGTCATGTCCCTCTGGCTGGGGCAGCACATCTGGCAGGGAAGCTGCTGAGCTGCCAACAGTCCCACCAGAGGACTGTGCTGTCACCGAGAGTGAAGGATGAGGATGAGGAGGGGCTCCCAGCCAAGGGAGGGACAGACCACCCAAACCCCAGGGCTTGAGTATCCCACTCCATCCATGCAGCGACTCCTACAGCCACTTTGTGCCCGAGGGCGTCCTGGCCAACACCCTGGGGGTGATGTTGGTGGCCTTCGGGCTGGTGGTGGGCTACGTGGTGACACGGGAGGAGTGGAAGCGCCCGCCGCTGGCCGAGGAGCTGGCCCTCTCCATGGACTTCAAGACCCTGACGGAGGGAGAGAGCCCAGGTGGTGGCAACCAGTGACACCCCCAGCTCCCTGATCCCTGGCACGGGCTCCTCATGGTGTCAGGGTGATGAGGACAGCTGGGGAAGGACACGCTCTTGGTGCAATGCTGCCCACTGGACTCAGCCTTGCTTGGCCTTAATCCTCCTCAGCTCTGCCCTGCGCAGCCCCCGGTGCCCCCCGAGCCTGCCCCAGCCCTGTGGGGATGGCAGTGCCACAAGCAGGGGGTGGAAGTGGTGCTGGGGCACAAAGGAGGGGGGTCTCCAGGCTCTGCCCTGCTCTGAGGACGAGGGCAGGAGCACAGATTTCCCTGCTGTGAGCAGCCCAATCCCACAGCCTGTTCCCAGTGCCCATGGGCAGAGGGGATGTTTGGGATTTCCCACTCCCTGGGGATTTCCCATGCCCTCCAGCACAGCCACACATGGGGGCTGCTCCCCATGAACAGCTCCCAGGGGGGTTGGAGTGACCCGGTGTCTGTGCAGGTTCAGCAGCTTCGTGTCCGAAATGTTTTCCCCTCGCGTGAGATGTGTCGTCTGCTCAGTGGATGCTCCCAACGTAATAAATGTTTGCAGCTAACCCCTCCTCCTCCTGTCTGTACCCCCCCCAATCATCGTTTCAGGGGACCCCTGAGCTCCCACATGCCGAGGGTGGCTGGGAGAGGAGCCACCCAAGGGGCTGGGGAAGGTGGGTGGGTGGGAGTTTGGAGTGGGATTGTCCTGTCTGGCGCTGCAGAGCTCAGTGGTGGCTGTGTGAGGGATCCCGTGGGGACATCTCCAGGATCTGGCCATGCACTGATGTGCCTGTGGAAGAGGGGGAGACCCACTGCAACAAGGAGGTGCATCCCTGAGATGGGAGCTCATCTCTGTGGAAAGCAGCCCCCTTCTGGGTTACAGCACAGGCAGCTGTGGGGGTGAAGCTCCAACATCCCAGTGCTCCAAAGCAAACACAGACCCCAGCAAAGCCCAAACTGGGGGATTTTGCTCACCACAGCCCCCATATGCCACATCCTTCCAGCGTGGTGTGTCCAGCTCAGCCTGGCACTGGAGGATGGATGGTCACAGCTGTGAGGGGTGTTTGGCTGCAAAACTGAGCCCTGGGCTCGGCAGGGATGAAGTGAAGGGACCCTCAGGGTCTCGGGAGCTGCAGGGCTCCAGTGTCCACAGCACCAGGCTGTGCTTTCCCAACTTAACCCAGAAACCTTGTGAGGGTGGGGAGGCCCTGGCACAGGGTGCCCAGAGAAGCTGTGGCTGCCCCTGGATCCCTGGAAGTGTCCAAGGCCAGGTTGGATAAATTTGGAACAACCTGGGCTAATGGAAGCTGTCCCTGCCCATGGCAGGGGGATGGAGCTGGATGGGCTTTAAGGTCCCTTCCAACCCAAACCATTCTGTGATTCTATGATGATGAAAACTCTCTGATGGAGTTCCCTCATCTATTTTATTACAATTATTATCCTCTATATTATTTTATGCCCTTTGCTGACAGCGCTGCTTCCGTCCCCTCCTGCTCCTGGCCGTGCCAGGTCCCCGTCCCTATCCCCATGCAGTGACTGCCAGATCCAACCCTTGCACCATCATTTCCACACCAAGAAGCATCAGAACACTCCTTCACTCAGCCCAGTGTGGGAAAAACAGCAGCCCAGACACCATTTCCAAGTGTTAACCATTTATAAATAAGTACATTTTTTCATACATACAGTTTTCATTGTACAGATTACAATCTGTATACATTGGGGGGGGGGGAAATGCATTCTTTTGAACTTTTCACATCTATCTCACAGCTCACATGTACAGACAAGAAAACTCTGCTCAAGCAAATACAGCAAAGGAAAAAATATGTTTTCTTCTTTCCTTAGAGATGAGAGGCAAAGGCCTCCGCTGTCGGCAGGGGCTGCTCTTCCCACTGCACAATATCACAACCGTGTGGTGTTCAATATATCAGTAGAGAGAACAGAACATGCATTGGATAATATACTGTACAGAGAGAAAGTCCTTTACATCGGAATTATAGAAAAGCTAAAGGAAAATTTAAGTGTCTTAAAGATCTTCCCAGCAAGTGTCTCGGAGGATGGCAACCAGGGAATTGTACAAAGCACAAGGCGGGTGTACTGGACGTGTTTGTACCCAACTCAGATCCTCTCGGATGTGAAGACAGAAGGGGGACTGAACGCTGAATGCAACACTATGGCAAAGAAAAGGCTGGACAGGGTGAGCCCGGCAGTGCTGGCAGAGTCCACACGAGTCTCTGGGTTGGCGGTGGCGCGACAGAAGGGGCTGCACGTAGCACACAGTGCTGCTCTCAGTGCCTGGCTGGTCAGTGCACAGCGAGGCAGACCCGTGGTGACCCAATTCCCTGGGCACGAGGCTCTCCCACCCACCCATCCCAACCCTGACCCGCTGGAGGAGACGCCTCCCCGCCCCACCACCGTCCCCGGACAGTGTCACCCAAAGGGACAAAGTCTTTTGGCAGAGCAGCCCCTCTGTTTCCATGACCCCAGGATGCGATCCCGTCGGATGGGACCCGGCTGCTGACTGCCCAGTACCGTGACAGCTGGAAAATGAGCAGGAGGAAGGACACGGCGGGTGGGCTGGGGGTCTGCTGGCTTTCCCGGTGACGCTGTGCTCCTCTCGGGCCGGTCTGTCCCAGCTGTGGTGAGATCCAGCTGTACATCAGGAGTTGGACACGAACGCATCTTTGCTAAAGAATTGAGCCCTTAGTGGTTTATATATTAGAAAAAAGAGTTTGACTGAATGAAAATCCAGCAATTATTCACACAAAGCTGAAAAAAAAAAACGCAGATTCGCTTTCAAACCATTGTGCTTTGTGTCCAACACACACCCCGCCGGACTGCGCGGGGTGAAGGCATCGATCCACAGAGGTCCCAGCGGGTACAGCAGCTCTTCCCCTAAGCCCTTGGTTAGACACCGATATCCCGGGAGAAGAGTTATCTTGAATTCCCAAGACTAAAGCAAAGTACAACCACCAAGGAGCTCCCGACAGCTCACCACGGGCCCCCCCCCGGGCGAGGAAGGCGGAGGACGAGCAGGCACGACGGCTTGCTTGGTTCTCTAGATAAGGCGGAGCTGGCACTTCGGTTTTAGCTAAACTTCTCCTGGGTAACCCTGAATATACAGCAACCTTTGTGAAGGGGACTGAATCGCTCCCAGTTTAGTACCCACCCTGCTTCCAGACCCGATCCCGGCGCGGCTCCGGTGTCTGGCAGACGCGCACCCCCGTGTTCACACCAGCCACGCTGCTCCCTCACAGCCAAGTTAAAGAAAAATAACCTAAAAGTTCAGTGCTCGAACAGCCCCAGCTGGGCACTGGTGCCACGGCAGATGGACAGACAGACGGACAGACACACGCCTCGGGTCGTCGGAGCTGGCACAGCCCCCCCCAAATAGCGACACAGAGAAGGCAGCTCAGGCTGTGCCTTCTTTGGAGATGGATCCCAAAGGATCTGTCTGTAAAACCCTCCCTTTCCTAAGCACTTCAGTGCCCACTCAAGACTGTGTTCAAAGCCCTCCACTGCCACTCCCAGCCTGGCTGGGGGGACCCCGCAGAGCCCCCCACCAGGTGGGTGTCCCCTCCCCTGGGACCACAGCATCCTCCTGACCTGGGAGACAAAGCAAGAGCCGATGAATCCCCACTGAGGGATGGGACAGACACCCACACCTGATGCTGGGAGAGATGATTCCAGCTCTGCAGAGGCACACGTGGCTCTTGGAGCAGCCACAGGTGAGGATGAGAGACACCTGGTGGGAAGGTTGGCTGAAGAAAGGGGTTGATCCCAGCATCACCTTTGTCATCGCCTTCCCTGTGCACCCCAAGAACTGAACCCGGAGTTTCAGTGTCATCAAGAACCTGCTTTACTCGGTGCATCCAAGAATCCTGCACTCACTTGAAGATGGGGCTCGCCAGCTGTGCCACTGAAGCCAGGAGGGGATGGAGGCACCAGCTGGCAGCATTGTCCTGCATCTTAATTACCCAAAGAGTAATTAAATATGTAGCATGGACAGACAGGACAGCACCATGTCTGAAACTCTGGATGTGATCCCACAATGCAGCTCGGGCCCGTCAGACCTGGATCTAAGAGTAGAGGATGAAAGGCCCTCAGGTGAGATCCGACCTCATGATCCCCTGAATGCAACAGGACCATAGCAGCACCACACAGAACGACCTGCCAAGCCCAAATCATGACTTTGAAGACACAGGGGAGTGTGTAAGAACAGCTTTTCCAGGAAGAGATGTGCTCCTTTACCCACCTGGTGACCACAGCAGCCATCCTGCCTCGACTGTCCCTAAGGGAATTGCTGGGGAAGTGCTTTAAAACCGCTGCAAATAATTTTGTATTCAAAAATTACTCAATCTGTTGATGCTTATATACAGGAGTCAGTTCTTGTGCTATAAATGTTATGATTCATTGCTTCGTTTCTTTTCTTTTTTCTCCTTTCTTTTTTTGAAAAATACACTAAGAGACAAGAGCTGTTTTGCTATTTTTCTAATGAAGACACTACTCACGCTTAAATATCCAGTATTTATCATAGTAACAAATTCAAACAGTAAAGTGCACCCATTTACAGAGAGAACAGATGGAAAACCATTAGTGCAAGAATTCTGTGAAAAATGTAACACGTGGAACTGTGAAAAAACCTGCACGCCGCAGTGTTTTAAGCCTTCTTCAGCTTGGTGTTCGTGTTGAAAAGTGTGAGCTGTTTTCATCTTCCCTTGAAACATCTTCATAAGCCCGAAAGTTACACACAGAAGTGCTGTGAGGGGACGTTCTGAAGGACAGGACTGGGAGCACAAGGCAGTGAGCAGCGAAAGCAAAGCACGGGCAGTTCTCCCATCGCTGCTCTCGGAGCGTCCCGTTGGCATCTCAGCGGGGAGAACGGGAGTGCGGCCGCAGCACGCCTCGCTCGGCCGGGAAAAACAGGGATGGGGCTGAAATTTGGTTACTTTTTCCTTTCAAAGAAGCAACTAAAGGTAGGAAGCCACTCGGGCAGAAAGCTGGAGGATGAGAGGTGCTGAGCAAAGCAGCTGGTTCAGCTCCAGACCCAGGATACGTGTGCCGGCTGTGGGCGCGCGGGATGCGGAGGAGAAATCGGCCGTTCCTTACAAAAGCAGAACGTGCTGCTTGAAAAAAGAGAGGGAGAAAGAAAACCATCGCACCCCCTTTGCAAGGAGAGAAACAGGACACAGAGCTGGGTGTCCCCACGGCCGTGGGGGACTTCCCCCACCGAGGGGGTCCCAGTCTGGCCCCCACTTTACCCTGTGGTAAAGCAAAGAGTCAGCGCTGGGTTGCACCTCAAGGAAGAAAACACCAACCTCAATCCAAATACCGGCTCGGACAAAGACCAAATAGCCCAAAATGGCCAAAACTCATCGAGGAAACACTCCCCTGAATGCTCTCCATGTGTCTATGAGACACAAGCCTCCATCACCCCCCAAGGTTTGCACGTCCCAGCTTGCTCTGAGCAAATTAGGCAACAAAACAGCAACAGGATATGCTGAGCCCCACACAGGGAAGAAAACAAAAAGCCCCATCGAAGCCAGGGTTTGCTTAAGGAGTTTCGGACCCAGTCCCGAGCTGGTGGGAATGGCTGCAGCTGCAGTGAAGTGGCGCTGGGATGTGCTCACTGACACCAGCCAAGGTTGGAGCCCATGATTTGGTTCAAGAAGTCTTGCAATCGATTCACATTTAGCCCTTTGGAGACCCCGGAAGGTATCGCTCCCCTGCTCAGCACTGAGATCGCTCCCAAGAGTTGATATGAGTGAGGTTCGGCATCGGGCAACAGGCACTAAGTTTGCTTTAAAACAAGCTACAGGGTTATCGCTCTCCCCCTCCCCGGCATCCCACCCTTCGCCCTCAGGAACGGAGGAATTCCCACCAGGAATAAGGGAATCGGTAAAGGAAGTTCTTACCCCCCCCAACCCAAAAGAAATTTTCGGTGAATAATTGAAAACTTATTGAAAATCCTATAAAAAGGATCTTGGAACCGGCCCCTGCTTTTCACGTCATCTTGATGTGACTTGCATTTGGGTTAAAATCCCAGAAACAACATAAAAAAACCCCAAATGAAAAAATGTCCTGAAATAGGTAACATAAATAAATTATAAATAGGTGTCTTTTAACTACAGCTCCTCAAAAAGCAAAACATGGTCTCTGCCGTGTACAGCTCTGGAACACAGCATTGCTTTCCAGGATTTTGGGAAGGGATCTTAGAGAGGTGCAGCCCTTGCTACAGCCCTGGCTCTCTGGTGGGAGCGAGCTGGAGGGAAGGGATGCTGCAGGGCTGGGATTGCAGAAGGACCCTTTCTCTTTTGGGACCCACCATGCCACGTTCTGCATCCTCATCATAAAAAAAAAAAAATTAAAAATTAAAAATTGTGATTTTTCTCCTTGAATACCATTTTTTAAGTCAGATTTTTGTTCTTCCTCGCAAGTGATAAATCCCCCCCCACAAATGAAGGCCCCAGCACTGACCCTCCCTGGTGCAAATGCTGTGTGTGAGGTGCAGTTTGCCAATGGTCTAAGGAAGTTGGTGCTATCCCGGTTCACACACAAGAGATTCCTGGCCAATTCCCTTGGCTGATTAAAACACGTAAAGAAAGGGCCAACCTTAAGCCCTCAATGCTTGTAAAACGTCCCAGAGCAACGAAATCAGTGTAGGGGCACCTGGCAGGTACTTGGAAAGCAGCAAAGTGATCCCCACCCCACCACCGATGACGCGGTTAAAGGAGGAAGGAATCCAACTGGGATTAAAATGCTGGAAACCAGAGGAATCAGGATGGGTGTTGTGCATAGCTACTGGTGTTACGTCACATCACCCTCAGGCCTCGCTCGCTGAGGGTAATTGGCTCTTTGGGGCAAAGAGCCAAACGACCTGGCTGGCACTGGGACCCGCAGATCAAGCCTTGGGAAGGCTCCTGTGATCCCTAGGAATTCCCATCAGAATTGAGTAAGAGCTCATCGAGACAAAAGAAACCAATTTAAATCGAAGGCAATTGTCTCTTGAAAAAGAGCTGGTTACCTCCCGCTGCGTAGGGATATCTCTGGGCCACCCCGCACCACGGACTAAGATATCCTGGTTGGAACTTTGCTGGAATTGGGCAAACGATACTGGCTCGGCTGATGTTGGCTTCACGGTCAGCTGGGGAACGAAAGGGCTGGAGCACGTGCATGGCTGTCTGACCACCACACAAAGTACCGGAGAAACTTGGTCATGTAGCTACCAGAGAGAAATAAAAATAATAATAATAATAATAATAATAATTAATAATAATAATAATAATAATATGCATGGAAATCAAGCTTGGAAGTGTGTGTGCTGAAAACATGAGGGTCTTACTCCAACAAGCGTCTTTTACACATTAGACTCCACAAATGGTCTCTTTGGTTTGATTGGGGACGTCTGCCCTTGCCTGGAGTCCCTGGAGAGCTGCCTGTACAGGTTATCCTGGTAGGCCTGCGCCACGGGCAGCGTCCTTGCCACCTTGACGTCGGGGTACGAGGAGGCTTGGGTGACTCTCTCCAGGAGGTCTCCCCGGGACCCATTGGCCAGCATCCCATGGGGGCTGTAATAGTCTTCCTCTAGCAAATGGCCATTCTGTGCATTGTTGGTTTTGTTATAAAAGGCAATGTTGCTGATTGAAGAGGGCGGGCTAAAGGATTCCGGCTGGGGCAGATTGCCAGGAGACGTGGGACTAATGACAGTGTCCACTGACGACACGGCCCAGGTCCGGTTCTGCTGATGGAGGTGGGGGTACTGCTGAGTCCGAGCGGTTTTATCTATGATTCCCATGAAGGGCGTGGTCCGGGAGCGGGCCGGCTCGCTGGGATAACCCCCCTGCGTGGGGGACACCGGAGAGAGCTCGTCGCACGATCTGTCGTAGGCCGGCTTGAGGGGAATCTCCATTTGCTGAATCGAGGCGGAAGGGCGGAAGTTGGGAGTCAGGTTGGAGGTGGAGGAGATGCTATTGCTGGAAGGGGAGAAGCGCAGGCCCACGCTCTGAGAGTGCAGCAGCGGCCTGGGAGTCGGCGGGTGAGGCTTGATTTCGCTGGGATTAACTGAGATGGGCCTTCTTATGAGATGAGACACATCTGGAGAGCCCAGCTGGTTGGCGGGGAGGGGAGAACGCTCCAGGTCGAGCTTGGAGTGACACACGGGATAGTAGGAAGCGGACTGGCTCCGCCCGATCTGAGGTGTCTGGCTGTACCTCATCCCCCCTCTGTACGCCGAGGACGGCCTCTGGGGAAGGTCTTCCTTGGCCAGCCCTCCGTGCTGACAGATGGCCCCGGCGCTGAGGCTCGCCTGCACGTGCTGCACGGGCCTGCTGTCGCCCACGATGCCCCCGATGGAGCCCTGGTAGACCAACCTGCTCTGGCTGACCCCCATGTCCCCCGACGACGACTGGTACTTGCTGGCCATCGAGTGGGCGACCTGGCTGTAGGCCCCGGTGGGGATGACAGTGCTGGAGTGGACGGCGGAGCTGGGCTGGTTGCTCCTCACGATCTGTGCCTTGGCTGGCTGCAGCCTCAGCCCCTGCTGGGGCACGGCCACGGGGAGCTGGGGCATCTGGAAGGATCTCTGTGTCATCTTGGAGAGCGGAGACTTGGGTCTGCCGGGGAGCTGGGTGACCCCGCTGGGCTCCTGCTGGTAACGCACCGGGGAGCCCGACTGTGACCTGTAGACGCTCATGCTCTCTGCAGGAGGGCTGGCGCGGTACTGGGGGCCTCTGCGAAGAGGAGACGGCGGCGGGCTCTGATATTCCTTCCCTTGGCTTCCGACGGGAGGGGGGCTGAAGCGGTACGTGGAGCCCTGGTGAGCCGGGGACGTGTGTGGAGGACTGGGCCTGTAATGTGAGTTTTGGTGCGTCGGAGACAGAGCAGGAGACGTGGACTGGTAGCCCTGCCTGGTTGGAGACCCCACGGAGCTGTTGGACCTGAAATCAAAGACCTGATGAGAGCCAAGAGGCGAGCCGGAGATATAGGCCGAGTCCCTGTGAGCTGGGGACGGGGGTGGGCTCTGGATGATGGGCAGCCCTTGGTTTGGCCTGGACTCTGTCTGCAGGCCAATGGAAACATTTTCTACGTCCTGCTCGAGGTACTCCTCCTCGAAGATATCCTGCACAGAGTACAGCTCTTCGTGCTGGGCTTCGGGTTCCGGCTCTGCCGGGAGCGGCGGCGGCGGCTGCTGCTGCTGCTGCACCTGCCTGCACTCCTCCTCCACCCGCAGCAGCAGCCGCTGGATCTCACGGTTGTTGGGACACAGCTTGATGGCCTCGTTCAGGTCCTCCAGGGCTGCTGAAAACTGCCTGCTCGACAAAGGGACAGAAATGAGAACTGAAGTTACTCTGGATTGGAATGGAGCTGTTTTCAGACGCTCCAGAGGAGGGTAAATGGCTTGTCTGTGTTACTGAGGGAGATGTTTGTCATTGCTACTGCTTGCTGTGCCTCTCACACTCTGCCTTATAGGCCTCCCTCAGATTTAGTTTATCCAAACTGAAGGAAAATTCTGGAGAAGAGCGGAATGCAGTCCTGAGATGGCACAACCCAGCCTAGCAAATATGCCTGTACTCTGTGGTGTGCGTTAGGACTAATTAATTACTGGCCTCAGCACCTCAGCGTGAGCAAAGGGGACACCAACACATCGCTCACCACGAGCTCGGCTCTGCACTGCTGTAAACAAGCTCTGACAGAGCTGCAACCACTTATGCCAGTGAAAATCCAACTTCTGCCTGATGCCAAGACCACACAGCATCAGGGCTGGCTCCAGAGCTCAGGGGCTCCCACGGGTCAGTGCTCTGGGCATGGCTTGTCTCTCCAATTTTGCAATGGATTTGTCCAACTCCCTTGGAACGAAGGAATCGAGCAACAGAGGCTGTGAGCTGCCCGGGGAAGCCTCTGTGAGGGAAAGGCCAGCCTGGGAGGTGCAACAGGGAGGTGGGGGCTTGGGAAGGGGGTTATTTACAGGGACACTGTTTGTTTTGGAGCAAACCCATGTGTTTGAACATGACTGTCACCTGGGAAAACCCACCTAGATGGGGGAAAACTCCCCCACCAGTAATAAACCCCCCCAGCACCTCCCAGCACCAGCCTAATCTTTTGCACAAGCCATTGAAGACCAAGTGGAGGAAGGAAAAGCCTCCTCCTCTCCAGGCTGTGTGACCCCAGAGGTGCTGCTGGGCACACAGTGGGACAGGGAGAAGCAAAGACAAAGTGGTGACATTTTCTGCTGGAGAGACTGGGGGACAAAAGGATGCTGCTATGTGGGGGGCTGATATCATCTGGAGAGGAACATGGGTCTTAAGGTCCCTTGCAAGTGTTTTGGGAACAATGGAGTTCGGGAAACCATTAAAGGAAAGACACGAAGTGCTTGTGGCTCAGCTCGCAGGGCTCCTCTGTGGAACAGAAGGTCACATCAAGACCTGGTGCACTGCACCAGCTGGGCCAGGAGCACACTTGCCTCCAGCATGGAAGGTCAAATGGTGGTGTCTGCTGAGCTGGGGTGTTTGCACAGGTGGACTCACACACTCCCTGCACTGCCACGTGAGGCCTTTCGGCTGCTGTTTAAACTGAGATGCAACAGCATGCCCAGCCCTCGAGAACAGGACTCCCAAGCAGCCCCCTGCTCATTTTGGAACGGCAAACAAATCTAATCTCACGTGTTTTAGCCTTCAGAGAGCTGGACAAGGGGGATCCCAGGGCTGCAGCTCTCCAGGAGCTGGCTGCAGTGCTCTGAGCACAGCTCTGTCTGGACACTCCCCGGCCGGCGCCTGCCCGGAGCCACTGCACAGCTGGTCAGCCCTGCCAGGAAGGGCTGCAGGACGGAGAGGGGACCACCACAAGGAATGTCTGCCCTCTTGCACAACACAGGCCATGAGTCATAATTTGCTTCAAGTCCAAGTTGTGGTTGAGCTAAAGTGTACTCTGAAAAAGAACACCCCACTCTGGTGTCCAGGTTTCCAGTGTTGTAAGATGTCCAGACAAAGTTCTACTAAGACAAACCTCTCAAAACACTTCCATTCCGAATTCACCAATTGAGGGAGGGGGTTACTCTGGAGTTCGAGAAATTTGTAATCTCATTAATGAACATTCCTTGGCCATTTCTTCCCATGGGGGCACTGCATGGCTTTGCAGGGTGGGTGCCCACGCTGGGGTGGCCAGGCTTGCAGAGACCAGCCCCTCACACCTTCCTCTCTGTCCCTCCTCACCTGCTGCTGCGTTTGGCCCTTGCTCTTGCATAGTAAGCTTCGTAAGACTTCGGTTTCAGCTCCAGAGCTTTAGTGGCAAACTCCTCCGCCATCCCAAAATCCTGCCATTACAACAGGTGTGCAGGTCAGTGACTGAACAGATACAGAAATAAAAATATATACAGCTTGGGAAGAAAACAAACTTAATACGGATTTTTTTTTTTTTGCATATAGCAGGGAAAACTTGATGGTACTGGAATGTTTCACATGGGTTCAACATCATTCACAGCCAGAGAGTTATGATGGCATGTCCAAAAAACCCTCTGGTAACACCCTTGCTGTCATCACCCCCAGAGTGCCACTGGTTCTGTTCTCATTGTGTCCTCAACAAGTGCATGCAGATCCCTCTCCAACAACCTACAGTCTTGAGGAAACATCTGGTCTCGCAGAGGCTGGAATGTTATCTCATGAAGGATTTTTTTCCATAGTTGAAAGCCACAGGAAACCTTTCCCACGCCCTCCCCCTCCCTCTCTGCACCACACTGACATTCTTCAAGGGGCTGACGAAAACTGCCTGTGAAGGAGAGGGCTGTGGTATCTCAGTGACCTGTCTGGCAAAGGTCTCCTATCAGTGCCACCTGTCCCACTGTTCCTCACTTCTCCCCTACACCTCACCTGGGAGGATATTTTGGGAGCAGACAGCGTGGGATGGGACTGCTCTAGGTGCTTTCCAGTGGCAGTGCCACGAGACCAGACTCAGCTCTGGTTCAGACCTTGCTGCTGTCCTCCCTTGCCTTGTCCCAAATGCTTCACGTCCCACCAAGCTCAGCTTAGCTGAAGCTCAGCACTTGGGAAGGAGAACTTTTCCCAGTGGAGAGGATTCCATTTCACAGCTAAGCTTTGGATTGCTGACCTGAGCAGCTCTGGGAGAAAGGAACAGTGCTGCTCCTGATTTGTTCAAAAACATGGGAAGCCAACTCTTGCTATGGGGATGCCCTGCCTGGGGAAGCTCATATTCTATTTGTACCTTCAGTAGCAGTTACTGAGGAGATATTGCCCAACAGACTCAACTGGGAATGTAGTCAAGGCAAGTACTTTTATGGTCTCTTCTACAAGTGCAAAAACTGCAGGAGCAATTAAAAGCCTCTGAAGTTTTCTCACCCAAAACCTCACATTCCCCAGTTAAGGATAAATCAAAAATCTTGTCCTTAAAGCACAGGACAAAGGCTGGAGTTGCTTAGCTGTGAGTTGGCTGGTTTAAAGTCAAGTTTCACACTTCTTCTCCAAACTGTGTTTGTTCCCCAGCACTAAGATTTTACTCCCATTGCTTTCCATCCTTCTCCCTCACATCTTAAAGAAATGAAGGTGTCACTTCCCCTCCAGTGTAACCTTTGCTGGCTCATGGCCTCGGCAGAGATGTCACTTTTTGAGTTTAAGGGGACTTTAATTTGTGGAGGTGAAAGCCCCTGCATGCCAAGCCAGGGGAGGTGGCACTTGTCTGCTGGCAGAACAGGCACCTGCACGAGCTGGTCTGGATGCTGCCAGATGGGAAAGGGGAGAGTGACAGGGATCTGGCAGTTCTGGGAGGAGAGGGAGCCTGTGAGGGTGTTTCTGGATGAGTCACTGCCCTGGGGAAGTGCAAACCCCCTAAGCATATGCTCCTTCATTTGAAATTAATTAGTATTCAAAGGAGCACATCTCCTGGCTCCTCCTCACCACTGCCCCAGAAAGCTGGAAGATGCCTCCACCCACCCCCATGTGACGACGTGAACATCATCATCAAAAGGGAGCAATAAAAAATTCAAAGAGCTATAAACATAGGAATGAATTTTTAATCACCTGAAACGAACATTAAATCATTACTGCTTTTGAATCATAAAACGTCAGTGCTCCGTGAAGGACAAACCAGGTTGGACAGAGGAGAGATCTGAGAGGTCAGAGCACGGTCAGGGATGGACATGTCTCTGCAGAGGCACAAAGGTGGCAGGTTGGGCTCAAGGCCATGAAAAGAGGGGGGACTTACATTCATTTTCCTTCGACACCGGGAGAGGTTGAGGAGCAGCGACACCTTCAGCTCACGGAAGGTTTTCAGGTCTTCTCCAAACCCTTCCCTGGGGAACTTTTTCAGAGCGTACTGGTAGCGCTGGGCAGCCTCTTTCACTTTACCTTTCTATTAGAAGGAAAACATGTCAAACACACCCTTGGGTTGAGTTTGCTTCCCCGCAGAGAACTCACTCACCAGCCCCAGGAATGTTTTAGGTGGTTAAGGAAACGCAACTTCACTATTTAGCCCTTTTCTAGAAAGGAAAGCCAGAACATTTGATCAAGGGAACATCTGAGCTGGAAAGGCAGATGCCTTGTGCAAGTTATTTCCCACTTGGTACAGAGTTGTCACACTATAGCAGGAAACAAGGCAGAACTGGTGTTAACTCGATACAACTCCATCTGCTTCCTGGCTGGATGGTCTTTTGGGCTGGGTGATCAGTCACCCATTCCTGGAGAACACCCTCCACCCAAAGCTTAATAGTAAGGAATAGGAATTGTGGAACTTTGGGTGGAGCTCTGGGGCTCAGAGAAGCCTCTGCAACAGCAAAGATAAATGTTACAGCACCAACGTGGCTCTGAACTTGGACAAACAGGTTGAGATCCACCTCCCTGAACTTTAGACGTCTAAAAATCAGGTGTCTCCATCTAACTCTGGTAACTGGGTTCCTTTTACAGTTATTGGGACGCAACAGTCACCTTCAAAGGTGACTCGTCTTTGCTATTTTGGGCACCTAATTTTGGGATGGGACGATGTGAGCCCTGAAGGGGGGCAACCACACAGCCAGGGTGAGAGAAAGAGGGCAGGATGGGATCTAGGACACAAGTCGTTCCCGGTGACCCAGACATAAATTTTGCAGCTATGAATAGTGAGTTTTAAAAACTTGTAGACTCAGGTTTCTCAGCTGTATCACGTATCTCTGGCAGATAACTCCTGTTACAATGCCAGCTTTGCATATTTTCTGCTTCACCCTTAGAGCCTCACAGTGAATCATTGTTGTACTTGCACATTTTCTGTGTGTGTGCGCAAATCTCCAGGTTTTTATCGGCTTAAAATAAACAGAGAGCAAAAAAGACACTCTACTGTAGCAGTGGAATGTCTCCCACGGGCTACAGGACACGACAAAGCCAGTTGTGTCCTGACAATCTGCCTTCATTGCAAAAAGTTTCTTCCAGGAGTTTTTCTGGGATATCCTATCCCGCTGCCCTGTTCCCCAGCAGCGAGCCCACCAGGTAAGGACAAGGCTGCCAGATCTGATGCCATGGCAGCAGCACTCCCAACAAACACTTGGGTTCTGGTGCTTTCAAAGAGGAGACGAGGTGCTGGCTCAAATCCAGAGTGACTTGGCTTTGCTTCAGCTTTGTTACAGAGCTGGGCAATCAATCCCCCTTCCCCAAACGGTTTGGAACACCAAAAATGCTTTGACCTGCCACAGGTTAAGGAGGCAGCATCAGAACCGTGGTTTGGAGAAGCCCAACCACTGACCCAAGACAGCCCAAACCTCCCACCAAGAGATGCTGCAAACTGCATCTGTTGCCTTTTCTCAAACCCACTCTCCTCACCTTATAAAACATGTCTCCCTCCTCCATCAGCTTGCTCAACAGGATGATCATGATGTCTGGTTTGGAGGTTGCCATCGCCCATGTTGCTGGACCTGTAGTGTACAGGATGCATGATGGGTAAAGAACTCATACAATGCAAGGGTGGTAGGAAGCTGGGTGGAAAAAATACCCTGGGGTGGGAATTTCTGCTGGAGAGAACAACTTGGCATGGTCAAAGGGCAGAGTGCTCCAAATGATCGAGCTGATAATTCCTCTGGCACTTAAATTAATGTCATCCCCACTGCACTGGTTTTTCTTTGCAGTCATTAATGCCAATCCCAGTGGCCTGGGAAAGGATGGAGCCGTTTCCACAAGAGGGCAGTGCTGAATGTGGAACTGGCTGGGATGGGGGAAACAAACCGTATTTAAAAGGAAAAATCAGAGTGGTTACATAAAAGCATTTCTAAATTAAAATCTCTGCAAGTGTACTGGGGAAATCTGCAGTTCAGCTGCCGACAGGTGGTTTGTGGTTAAGTGGATTGTGATTTCCAGCTTCACAAGATGTGAAAGACTAGAGTAGAAAATCCATTAGGGCAGAAAATACGACAAAGGGAAGGTCCTGTCTAAGTGCTGCTGGTGCCGAGGGCATCGTGGGGCTGGGGACACTCTGCCTCTGCACAGGGGCCACCCTGCAGAGCCAGCTCTGATCTCAAGCACTTTTACTGTGAGGGAAGGGTGGCAAAAATCTGGGGACAACTCATTAGTGGGGGTGAAGAATAAGTCAACAATATTCTATAAGTATATTCAGTACGTTTTGGGGGAAGGAGGTTAGTTTTTGAGTTCAAGTTATTCTCTGCAACAGTCATTAAAAAAATTATTTGAAGGTGAGGTAAATTAAAAGATTAGAGGTGTTGGGGTCGCATGCAGGCTAAATCAAACAGGAGAAAGCAAGGCTGACAAAGCTATCAGATCGAAGCTGATGCTGACAGCAATGAGATATACCTCGTGGGCGACTCGGTAACGTCTGACAACCTTCAAAGAAAGGAGAAAACAAAAAGTTGTAGGAGAGAGGGGGAAAAAAATGGATGAAGGTGTGAAAAAAAAAAAAAAGAAAGGAAAAAAGCAGCTGTGAGAGGCAGGCAGCAAGGAAGCCAATGCACCAGCAAAATCCCCTTTCACAGGAAAACGTAACGTGAGCGGCTGTGTGGCGCAGTGCAGGTACACTGAGGTCTGGAAGCATACACAGAGCGAGTGAACGCAGCAGCTCACAGCAAGGCATGGACAGAGTACACTTGTCGACTCAGACTAGTAAAGATAGAAAAAGCATTACCAGAGGAAAGACCTTGCCAAAGAGACAGTTGTTTATTGATTAACTTTTGCTAAAGTAACACGACAGCAAAAAAAAAAAAATAATAGTCCCCGTTTGACTAGGAAGGCAGTGCTGACTCGCCGGCTGGGGCTGAGGCTGCCTCGGGGTTACACTCGTGTTTTTTAGGATGCCAGCCCCACTGCTCGAGTCCTGCCTGAGCACAGAGCCGTTGGCAGAGTCCCCTTGTCCCTACCTATCTTTGCTCCTTTCTTCAGGAGGGTGACGACGACCGAGGTGTTGCGGCAGCCGACGGCCCTGTCGAGGGGCCGCATCCCGCTGTAGTCGACGTGCTCGATCATGGCCCCATGGTCCACCAGGAACTGAACCTGCAAGGAGAAACCAAGGAGAAGCCCAACGGTCAGTTCTGCTCCTGGGAGAGACCTACATGAGGTGCTGGGGATGTAGGACCAGTAAAAGCTTGTTCTGCTCCACTGCCTGGGCTAAGAACACCTCCATGGGGTCTGAGGGTACATTGCGGGCAGCAGGTCAAGGGAGGAAATTCTGCCCCTCTACTCCACTCTAGTGAGATCCCACCTGGAGTGGTCCAGGTCCCCAGGGATCCCCAGCACAGGAAGGACATGGACTTATTGGAGCAAATCCAGAGGAGGCCACGGAGATGCTCTGAGGCCTGGAGTCCTTCTGCTCTGGAGACAGGCTGGGAGAGTTCGAGATGTTCAGCCTGGAGAACAGAAGGCTCCAGGGAGACCTTAGAGTCCCTTCCAGTGCCCAAAGGGGCTCTAAGAGAGCTGGAGAGGGACTTTGGGCAAAAGCCTGGAGTGACAGGACAAGAGGAAGCGACTTCAAACTGAAAGAGAGTAGGTTTAGATTAGGTATTGGGAAGAAATTCTTCCCTGTAAGGGTGGTGAGGGGCTGGAATGGAATTCCCAGAGAAGCTGTGGCTGCCCCATCTCTGGAAGTGTCCAAGGCCAGGTTGGACAGGGCTTGGAGCAACCTGGGCTAGTGGAAGGTGTCCCTGCCCATGGCAGGAGGGGGGTTGATGGTCTCTAAGGTTCCTTCCCACCCGAACCATTGTGTGATTCTCTGATCAGCCTCTGTTGGAAGCACCCACACGTAGGAAAGATCGGGACCTTCTGTGCTTATTGCTACATCAAGCTAAACTGTACAATTCTTCTGGCTTTTACACCAACTGCCCATTTCCTTCTGGGTGTATCCCAGGCCACTCACCACCTCTGCGTCGCCGTAGAAGGCCGCCAGGTCCAGCGGCGTGCGCCCGTTCTTGTCCGCGTGGTCGGTGGCAGCTCCGTTCTCCACCAGGGAACGCACCACGGGCAGGTGGCCCTTCAGACAGGCCCAGCTCAGGGCTGTCAACCCCTCCTTGTCCATCAGAGAAATGGAGGCACCTGAAAGGACAAGCACCGGTTCATTCCAGCGCTCTCTCAGCTGCTGAGCGCCGCAAACCACCCGCTCGGCGATGACAGCTTGTTTTCAGAGAGCTCTGTACGTAATTATTAATTCCTTTATTAACGTTTCTCCCACCACAGATCCCACCCTCCGCGGCGACTTCAAATGCACCAGTGGGAACTGTGGCAAACGAGTTGATTCACACCAAGCTGCAAACTTTTTCGCACCTACCTCTGTGGGCTTTCCTGGCAAACATCTGAGCAGCAGGGTGGATCTGACATCCCTCGTCTGAGACATCAATCTTTCTTTTTAATTGCTTTTTTTTTTATTTAATCCAACCCCATTCCAGCCTGTGTGAGTCAGAGATGAAGACCATTTTGCTGTTTCAGCAGGTCACCACGGGGAACTAAGTCAGTTCGGCTCAGTTCTCCTAAAAAAGCACATATTTTCCCCTCTTCACTCCCCTCCCCTTTACCCAAAACGACACAATTTCCAGCAGTATTTCTCCCTGAACTTTACCCAATATAAATACAACGTTGTGGGATAAACTCCTGCCAACTGCAAGCCAAGGAGAGAGGGACTTGACGTTTTCTTGGATGAGGGAATGGCGCTGCCATACCAACGGGTCAGTGCTGCTCCACGCGGCATATGGATACGGAGAGGAGAGCTGAACAGCAGCTTCAAGTGAACACTCCTCTTCATGGCATGAAGACAACTCCTGTTGCCATGGCACAGAGCGTGCAGGGATGATCCACACCAGCTCTGCTCCTCGGAGGAGCTGCAGCTACCTGCAGGATGCTCCTGCCAGCAGCTGGGAGGAATTGCTGCTGCAGTGGTTTTCTCCTGGAGGTGAACTCTAAACTTCCCAGCATGAGGTCTTTCCTGGTTCCAGAAGAACGCTCAGCAAGTGGGGGAGGGATGTGGATTTCCTGACCGTTCCCGTTCATCCCGGCTGACGTGTCCCCCGTTCGCACGCGTTGCCCGGCTGGCAGCAGAGTGAGAGGGCTCCCTGCTGGCACAGGGTGTTGTTTGGGGAGGGAAATAACACGGCAATGTTTTCTCCAGGAGTGTTCAGACACCCCTGCCCAGCCCTGAGCTGCCAGCACAGCGTGGAGTGTCAGTGAGGGAGGGGACAATCAGGAGTGCCAAAGGGGGACACGGCAGCTCCAAGGTGCAGGCCAAGGGATGACAACTTAGAATCATAAGACTCATTAGGTTGGAAAAGACCTTTAGGATCATTAAATCTAACTGTTCCCCCAGCACTGCCAAGCACTAACCCATGTCCCCAAGTGCCACATCTTTAAATATTCTAAATCCCTCCAGGGATGGTGACTCCACTACTGCCCCAGTCAGGCTGTTGTAGGACTTGACAACCCTTTCAGTGAAAAAATTTTCCCTAATATCCAAACTAAACCTCCCTTGGAAAAATATGAAGCTGTTTCCTCTTCTCCTGTTGCTTGTTAGCAGGGAGCAGAGCCTGACCTCCCCCCCCCCGGCTTCCCCCTCCTGTCAGGGAGTTGTGGAGAATGAAAAGGTCCTCCTTGAGCCTCCTTTTCTCCAGGCTGAGCCCCCCCAGCTCCCTCAGCTGCTCCTCATCAGACTCGTGCTCCAAACCCTTCCTCAGCTCCACTGCCCCTCTCTGGACACTGCAGCACCTCAGTACCTTGCCAGCCTTCTCTCATATTGCCCACACTGCACCCAGGAGCCACTCTGAAGCTCTGGGAAAGCCCTTCCACATGATCCTGAACTGACCCAAGGACAAGTCTTGCTCAGGATAAAGCCTCATTTCATTCCTGCTTATTTGAACCAGACACTTCCTTCCGCTCAAACCATCGAAGTCTTCTCTTGTGTTCTCCCTCCGACTCTTCTGGAGCAGGTAAGAAAGTTTTTGAAGTAAGAGGGAATCCTGGAAAGCCACGTCATCACTCAGCCTTCCCACTCGCCAGTGGAAGGACACCCAATACCACAGGGTGACAGGGCCAGGCTCCAGGGTGTCCCTGCAGTGCCAGCTGAAGGGTTGAGAGAGCAGAGGACACACACCACCCCAGGGATGCCAAGAGGCTGCTCCAAGGCACGCTGGGCATGACCTTCATGAGAACACCAAGCTCCAGAAACAGCCCTGGCTCCCAGCTGAGCCTCTGCTGGACTCCAAAGACATCCTTCACCCTTCAGGGATCTCTGACCTATTTAGCACCGAGGCAGCCAGACAGGAAACAAAGGGATGGTTTTGAGGCCAAGTGGCTTAAGGTGATCTCATGGGACTGATCCATCCTGCAGCGGGAGGGATTCTGGCTGGAAAAACCCAGTTTGCTTCTGGGAAGGGCTGGGCTGCTCCTTCCCCAAAAAAACCCAAGTGGCGAAATGCAAGAGTTCATCACAGTTTGGACTGGAAGGGACCTTTAAAGTCATCCAGTGCCACCCCCTGCCATGGGCAGGGACACCTTCCACTAGCCCAGGTTGCTCCAAGCCCCGTCCAACCTGGCCTTGGACACTTCCAGGGATCCAGGGGCAGCCACAGCTGCTCTGGGCAACCTGTGCCAGGGACTCATCATAAAAAATTTCTTGCATCCATCTAGTCTGATGATTCAATTATCCAGCAAGCACAACAATGAGCCAGCTTCAGGGAAAAAGAAAAGCCTGACACTTGGAACATCAAAAAGCTGCAGGATGTGGGATCTGTTCTGCACAGAGGATGCACCCAAAGCTGCAGTGCCCGGTCAGGGTGACCCCAAGGTAGCAAAAACATCAAGGGATTGCTTTTTTGGGAAAAAGAGATTCAGAATCAAGCTCCCACCAACAGGAACGAGCACCAGGAATTATTTTGCTTTGTGTCACACTGATCCACATAAATACCAGCTTTAGCAGAGCTGCTACCAGGGAAGTTTAATTCCCTCTTCACACCCCCATTACTTCGGGGTGTTAAGAGGTGGGTAACTCCAAAAATTGGGATTTCCAATTGATTGATGACTCCAACTCTGCTAATGAAACATGTTTACAAATGCTGACTGTGTTAATCAAGTACAGTCAAATGAGATTTGCTTTGCAACACACTAATTAATGCTTATGGCTTATGATTCACACAGTTTTGATTTTAATGAAACATTGAGCAGGACTGTCAAAGCCATTTTAATGAAAATACTCCACATTTCACTGCACTCTGCTCAAGCTTGAGTTAACTTTTCAGGACCATGTGTTACACTGTATGTAGTGGAGTTTACTAAGCTATTTACAAGAACGGACCTTTTAAAGTAAAAATTTTCATATTTTTGACTTCTTGGACTCTCAGTGTCCAAAGAGCCAGAGAAATATTATGTGCATTTACTGGTAATCCCATAGCTCAGATCAGAGTATCTGGTATTTTCATCCTCCTTTGAACCACTGAGTCTTAAGCAACATGCACAGTTCTCAAGTCTGGCAAAAAAATATTACTTATTTTAAGCCTTTTAACACAGATTCAGTCAAGCTGTGAAAGGGGCTATGTATCATCTCAAAGATGGAGAGTGTTAATTTGAGATTTAAAAATAACAGAACACCAGAAAGGAATTAATTGAATTAACTCCTAAAAAGCTCAAACTGTCACATCCCTGTGCAGGTTACAGCACTGAGCAGCAAGAATCCCACTGGCTGTGGCTCAGGACAGACAGACAGGCAATGGGAAACTTGTTCTTGGCAATTTTACAGTGAAAAAAATATTCTTAAAACTACTACATAAGATATTCAAGTGTCTCATTTTTTGGCTAAGAGGGCAGACACAGGCACTTACGAGATGAAGAAAATATCCCTTCCCAAAGAGGGATCTTACCTGGAATAAAAATATCAAATAACAATACAAGAATTAAATGCTATTTCTAGAAAAAAAAAATTAAAAGATTGCCCAACCAAACCAAACAAACATTGGCTATTTGTACAAAATAAAAGACAAAGGAGTCTCAAAAGAAGTCCAGCAATAAGAGCTGATGGTGTTCCCACGGGTTGTTCTGACTCACCTCCAGCAGATTCAGCAGAACTGAGCAAAACTGAGCCATGTTGGCTGAGTAAGTCCCAGTGAGGGAGAGTTATCAGCCACTGCAAGGGCTGAGCAAAGGGAAGCTGTGGGTGCAGAGCTGCAGAGCTCCCTTCAAAAGAATTCTGATTTATTTTCAGCAAATCCACCAACCCCTCGCTTGTGCTGGGGTCTTACCCTCCTGCTGCTGCTGGAGTCACAAATGTGGGCAACAACACAAGAGCTAAAAATGGCAGAATTAACAGGTGTCCCCAGCTCTGGTCTGTGCTTGAGCCTTGCTGCCCATTCCATGGACAGTTCCATGGCATCGTGTGTCCATTCCTTGTCTAAGGGCAACACTCCCAGTGTGGTTCAAGGGCACATTTTAATGCTCAAAGCACCTGGGATGTTATTCTGTTTGCTAACTCGGATGGGTGGGTTTGTGAGCACCAAACAGACAACCCAACACACGGCCAAGATTAAGGCCACGGCTACTCCAGCCTTGTTCTCCAAGGAGCTGGAAAGGGAGTGGTGTGACCCTGACACTCCAAACTCCAGCTGAGCAGGAGCCAGTGAGGTGGGACTGGCCATGGATGGACTCCAGAACTCCCCAAGATGTGCTCTAACCTTGTGCAAGCAGGAACTCCACGGTGCCCAGGTGCCCCTCGGACGCTGCCATCATCAGTGGTGTCCTGCCCTGCTTGTCTGCCATGTTCACGTCGGCGCCGTGCGTGAGCAGGAGATCCACGATCTGCAACACACAGAGCCAGCACATGGAGACCCAGCTGGGAAGAGGCCAGAGAAGAGGAAGAGCAGAGTGGAACCCACATCCTAAAAACTCACAGCCCTCAAGGCCCTCTGGGGTCGCAGGAAAAGGAGATTCAGAATCAAGCTCCCTCCAACAGGAATGGGCACCAGGAATTATTCTGCTTTGTGTCACACTGATCCATATAAATACCAGCTTTAGCAGAGTTGCCACCAGGGAAGTGGAAGATCAGGGATTGGGAGAAGCAATGGAGGTATAAGGGCAGGAAAAATGACCTTCTAAGTCAGGAGCATCCCATTTGCTTCCCTAATGCTAACCAGAGAAGCTGTGGCTGCCCCTGGATCCCTGGAAGTGTCCAAGGCCAGGCTGGATGGGGCGTGGAACAACCTGGTCTAGTGATAGCTGTCCCTGCCCATGGCAGGGGGTTGGAACTGGATGGTCTTGGAGTCCCTTCCAACCCATCCTATTCCACCATTCTATGGTAACACAGGACTTAAGCAAAGCTGTCTGTAAGCGACAAGTGCTGGGGGTGATTGGAGCATCAACATCACTTCTCGCTGTGCTCATTCCCCACAAGAGCTGGGGCTCCTCTTCTCCTCCCCAATTCCAGCGAGACGGAAGGGAAGGCCCGACCCCACACCTGAGGCTGTTCTAAGGAGCAAGGGACCGGTCACTCACCTGCCAGTGGCCCTGCCTGACGGCGCTGAAGAGCGGGACGACCCCGCGGCGGTTGGGCTGTGCCACGGCCGCGCCCTGCTCCAGGAGCAGCCGGCACACCTCCAGCTTCCCGCGCCCGGCCGCCGCCGTCAGAGCTGCGGGAGAGAGGACAGCGGTCAAGGGAAGGAGCCACGGGCTCAGCGGAGTGTTCTCCTACCTGGAGATGGGTCTTTCTGCTGCACACCCAAGCGACGGGGCCTGAAACGCCAAACACACCCCATGACAGGGAAAATGGACAAGGAAAGTGGGCTGGATTGGGACGGTTCTAGCTCTTGTCATTACAGTTCTAGCTTTTCTCATTTTAGTTACCTCAAAGGTCAACTCTTCCGTGAAAACATCACGGTTGAGTCAATCACCTTTCATTATTTTCCCCAAGTCGCAGTGAAACGTGGTAAGAACCACAATAAAATAATGCACAGGCACAGGTGACTGAGGTTCAAGTGTGACTGACGTCCAAGGTGTGACCAAGGTTCAAGGTGTAGATGAGGTTAAAGGTGTAGATGAGCCTACAGGTGTTCCTGAGGTTCAGGTATGGCTGCAAAGAAACGTGGAGTACCATCACATGAAACCTTCACCATCTTCCCCACTGCCAAGGCCATGGGCTGTGAGGCTGAAGGGGTCTGAGTAGGGGCTCAATATCCAGAGAAAACAGAGGTCTTCAGGTACTTGACAAGACCTTCTTCAACCTGTCCTTGACTCATCCCACCATGACTACAAGGGAGCAAGTGAGGGATCAAGCAGTGAGCACCATCAGCTCCCTGACAGACACTCATGTCAGTCAGATTTGTAGCTTTTCTCTGTCCCAACAAGCACAGAGCAGTGTAATTCACACAGAGGACTCTTATTTTCCATATCCCACTTTAGCCTGTAGATCTTTGAAACCAGGGAAAAAAATGGAAAGCAAAAGAGGATGAATATGTTCACCTGTTCTCCACAAAAAATGCTAATTCTGGGCTTTTTTTCTGGTTAGGGCTGATCCTACCAACCAGGGTCTTTGTGCAAACCCCAAATTACCTCTCATTTCCAAACGCTCACAATATCACAGGTGGGCAGAAGCAACACCTGAGAGCTCTTTCCCTGACAAAATGTGCTCTGTTAACTCCCCAAGTGTGGTTAGGTTAGAGAAGACACATTCCATCTGAAAATAGTCCCAAGTTCAGGACCTGCTGGTGACTCGTTTCGGTGTTAATTTTAGACTTCTTGGTTCCTCCCTCTCCCTAACTTTCTGTGCACTTCAGCACAGCTCCTCTGGCTCCACGCTCTGCTGCTTCTGGTAGGAGTTGGAGCAGAAGGTGGGAGTTTATTTCTGCCTGACGTCGCTTGTTTGTTCTTTGAAGTACATTTCTGTGGGTTGGCTGATTACGAGGTGTTGATGGCTTTCCAACTGCAACACTGTTAATGCTGGGGGATTTAATTAATTCTCGATTCCGCTCCACGTTATGGTGGAGTTTTCTTCTCTTGGAGTTGAGAGACACCAAGAGTTAAAAAGAAAAATCATCTCGCTGCCACAAGCAGAACGTTCTGCAAAATCTATAATGGGATCCATGTGGGTTTTAAACGTAAGCTACAAATACAGGAGGAGGCAGGGGATTGGAATGCAGGGCTCTGGGTTCTATTTCTAAACCTGCCTGCACTTGAAATGTTGCAGGTTAATTTGAGGTATTTCACGTCAAAATGACTTATGTTTGCAACAATGAGAATCTGTAAATCACTTCAGTGTTTGGTGTTCATCGTGAAATGTTCTTTGGAGAAGACTTCACTGAAACAGGATGATTTGATCCATGGTTTCTCCACTCTCCCTTGAAATCCCTTCTGCCTGCACTGACATCTCTTTTTGTTGCTGTGTTCCTCAGGGTCCAAGAAACTGGTGTGGGAATGTGGATCCAGCTTGTCCTCTGCAGCTCCAGCTCCAGGGAAAAGCTCCTGTGCTGCTCAGCAGCCAGACCCTGCTCCTTCAGGAAGGTTCCACACTGATGATCTGGATTTGCCTCCTGCTGCTGAGAAAAACCCATCCAAGCTTGTCTTATACAGTGCACAGATACCTAAATCCTCATAAGTGGAGAAACTCAGCCCAGCTGGACCCCAGAGCCCATTAGGGCACACCCAGACCTCACCAGTGGGAAGGTTGGACTGGAGAACCCCCCGTGGTCCCTCACCTGCCATAAGCTGGACAGGCTGCTGCTCCAGCCCTCAAACCAAAGCAGCTGTTGACATCCTGTGGCTCACCTCAAGCCCAGAGCACTATCCTGTGGCTGGTATCCAAGTCCAAATGCTCAATTAACCTACTTCAGGAAGAACTCTAGGGGTACCTGCTTCTTTCAGCACTCCTTAGGTGGACTCATCAACCTTACAATGGTTTTTAGTCTAAAAAACACACATGACACAAGGTAAGGCTGTGCCTGCGTGTGAAAGGAGGTTGGAAAAGCCAAGGAAAGGTGATGAGAGGAACTAAAGGAGATGGAAATGGGTTGATTTGAAGTTTTACTGTCTGCCAGGGAGCTCCCGTGGCCCAGCACAACCAAGGTGAGTCCACCAAGGAGCAACAACCAGGATCTTGGGCTGGCAAACAGGAATGTTCATTTTGGAGTTTTATCACGAGGATGCAGCTCCAGGAAGACAACTTGCTGGGCAATAACCAGGTCTTGGCATAAACACCATAAAACAACCCCTGTGTTTCTCAAAACACAGCTCAACCAAAACCTGAGACCAGGTTCAGGTGTGGACGTGCCCCTCTCCACCGGCATTAAGCCACGGCCTCCAACACCAGGGATCTGCTACAGCACATTCTGCCTTTGCTGCTGTGCAGAGAAGGTGCTGTTTTCTTAGAGAAAAAACAACTTCATCTGGAGAAGGAATCATTCAAGTGCTGCTCTCCAGCATGTGTATCTGTTTCCCAGCCTGGCAGCAAGACAAACAGCTCGACGGAGCCGTTCTTTGCACCTCCGACTCCGATGGACTGAGCACAAAGTGACTCAGATACTTTTCTGCTGGGTTTTGATATTGGTTTTGTCCCAGGGGGAAATACTCCATCTGGAGCTGGCTGTAGTGTGCTGTCAGCAGTTCCTAAACTTATGATGTCACTTGGCACTGCCATTTGGATGATATCAGGCTGATATCACCAAGCCAAGCACTCGGCTCTGCTCTGTGGAAGATTAGACACGAGCAACAAGTATCAAAAGCCAGACAACCAGGATTCAGAGTTCTAAAGGAGATTGCTATTTTTAGGTGGAAACCAGCACTCCTCTTCAAATTTATTTAAACTGTCTATTTACCTTTGGGGAAATAATAATAATATAATAATGTGAGAGTCATGAGTTTCATATAAACTTACAGACTTGTTCTACGCAGACCAAAGTCTGCTCAATTTGGTGGCTGGTTCACTTTTGCTCACTTACCCACCTCACCAATTTTAATGGGATAAACGGATATTCCTTTGAGGTGAGCCCTCAATTTGTGTGTGATTTGTGAATCACAAATTCACATTCCCAACTGTCCCAGTTACTCAGAAAACCCTCTCTGACAGAGAAACTCCCAGATGCCTGGTTAGTCCAGCTTTTGGCATTGTTGGGGGCAGAGGTATGGGAAGGGGGACAGCAGAGATGGAAACAGGCAGGTTGGGAATGTCAGAGCTGCCCAGGGCATGGGATAGGAAGGGAAGGGCTTATCTGCAGTGCCTGATGCTGCCCGTGGGGTTACTTTGCAGGGCTCAGTGGCTTTAGACCGAACTCTGAAGGCATCTGATCATGATCCTATTTACAAGACAGTCCTTGTGACCCAAATACCAGAGAACAATTTGGATGATCCATCTCAGGACTGGTCACCCCCTGTGAGCTCACTGTCCTGTTACCAACACTCGGCCATTTCACTCAGCTGATTCCACACCCAATTCCTTTTTTTTCTCCCATGACATCCCAGGGCACTCTGAAATTGCTCATTTGTATCTGTTGCCCTTATTTCCTCTAATAATGGCCCCATGGCCTTGCTGGTCAGTTCCATTCCCCTGGGGACAGGAGTTGGCTCCTTCCCCAGTGCCCTGCCAGTGGCCCGGGGCAGCCTGGCCACTCCCTGGGCTCTTCCCAGGACACCTCATCCCTCAAGCTTTGTCCTTTGGAGCTCAGGGCAATGCTCTCTGGCACACTCCATTCATCACACGGCTCTAATAAGGCCACATTTTCAAAGGCACAGGCACAAACCAGCTCCAAATACAACCCTGCCCCCTCCAAAGCAGAAACAACGCGAGCAAAGGCTGAGCCACACTCCAGCCGCCCTCTGTCCCCTTGGATCGTGTCATTTTTAAGCCAAGCTGACAGAATCACCATCCGTGCCCTGCTCCCCAGACAGGAACATTACCTGGGTGTATGAACCTGACAGCAACATCACCAGTGATGCAAGTGGAGCAGTGAGTTGAGTACAAATGACAGAGGATAATATTTATGAGGTCGCTGGAGTTAAAAGCAAACAGCTCTATGCTGGAATGGCTCAAGAAATGGAGATGTTAGCGGAGCAGAAGGGATGGATGGCTGCTTTTGTTTTGGGAGAACTCAGGAAAGAAGGGATTTTGTATTCTACCCATCAATGTAGAAATGAAGGACTTCACTAAAGAGTATTTGTTTAACTACCAGGGGCTAAATAATGAGGAGTTTTCAGAAAATCAATGGATAATTTAACAACCATAGTGCTGCATGTAATGGGGAGGAGGAGAGAGAAATAGGGAGATGCTTTGCATAAATATGCCCAATATCAAGAGAGAAAGAGCAGAACTGAGTGTCCATCTCATGCTTCAGGGAAATCAGTGACCTGGTCAGAATGCTGAGTGCCTCACACTCCTGAAAAGAGCCAGGAGTTGCAGAAGCTCAGAATTTTCAAACCTTAAACTTTTCTGTTTTCCTTAAGCTCCACCCTGGCCCCTGTTAATCACCAGGCACCAAACCAGAGGAACTGATCCTTCACCATCAAAGATGGGATCAGGGATGCATCAAGGACAGGAAGCCCAATAAAAGAAACACAAACATGCACAAAGAAGCTACAGCATCTACAGAAATCACCTGTCTCTCCCCAAAGGCTGTCAAAGCTGTTGATCTGTGCTCTCTCCACCTCCTCTTCATCTTTTTCTGGCAGATCGAGCAGGTAGGAGACGATCTGAAACAAAACGATGTGTCAGCTCACGAACTCGGCTGAGGTGGATGGAAAGTGCTGACACCTCAACATAAGCTGCTGGGAATGCAGAGGGGAGGGAACAGTTTCTGCCTGGCACCCTAAGCTCAAGGAAATGTTCTTCCAGAGGTCAGTCACTGAACCTGTACGAGCAAAAAAATCCCACCCAAGTGTCTTGACAGGACCGCACGTGATGAGCCCCCATAGGGTCAGTTCCCTGTAACTGTGTCTGGAGATGCCCCAGCATGTGCAGTGGATGCCTCTCCAGGAGGAGGTGGGGCTGTGAGGAGGTATCTGATTGAAGAGAAACCCATTCTCAGGAAGGGAGAAGGAACAGGGGCTGCCATGGGCAGCTGGGGCCGGCGGCAGCGCTTGGCTTGGTAGTGCTGGGTTAATGCTGTGACTTGACCTTAAAGACCTTTTCCAACCTAAATGATTCCATGCATCGTTTTCCCACCACAAATCTTTGCCAGGATGGCAGGAGGAAGCTCTTTGGCTCTTCCCTCCCCCAACAGACAATCCAAAGCTACACGGTCTCACCCTCCCTGACCGTGCTGGAGGAGCAGCGTAAGCAACACGCTGCTCATCCACCTCATCCTTAAAAGTTTATTCCAAACATTTATTCCAACAACTTATAGGCTTGTTACACTCCCTGTCTTGTAAACCAGCTCAGAGCACAGGACAGAGGTAGTGACTCCACCTCCACGACCTTCTTTGGCCAACATTTTGGCCAGGAAGGAGCCAGCCCTTGGTTCCCCTCCCTGCAGAGCCGTGTGGGTCCTACCTCGGTGTAGCCCATGCTGGCGGCGGCAATCAGGGCCTGTTGGATGGCGTGGCTCTTCTTGAACACCCCCTGCTGCTGCCCAGCCATGCTCCAGTCACACTGGATCAAGAACTTCACCACTTCCAAGTGTCCTCTGAGGGCGGCGTGGACCAGGGCACACTGACCGTTCTTGTCCAGATGATCCACCTTGAACAGAGATGACAAAACACAGTTAAACCAAATCACGGGCAAAACGTCTTTGCTTCTTCAGAGTTTCCAGCCCTGGCTTCAGAATAAAGCCATGTGTGCAAAATGTGCATTTTTCTGGTAAACTGTCCCTTCCATGACCAGAAAACAACCATTCCCAAAGCAACATCCTGGGCTCTGGCATCCTCTTGGCCACAAGTGTTTGCTTTGGGGAAGGCATCATTATTTTTTTAGCTGCCTTCAGTTTTCTTCAGACTCAAAGGCTGCAAAAGCATTTTTCCCCTTTGAGTCCTGAAGTCCAGCAATTGAATTTTCTTGTGGATTGAAATCACACACGCTGATACCATCTCCTTTAGCCAAATCCACAGAAGGAAAACCAGCCTGTTTTCCAGATGCCATTTCTTTTGAGAGACCCAGAAGTGCCTCAGCCTGCAGCCGGATGCTGTAACGTGAACCCAGGGCAAGCACAGTCAGTAGGAAACAGGGACAGTGCTTGGCAGCCCTGGAGGAACTTATTTGGTTGTATCTCAGGGGCACGAATACATCAGCTGGGATTTCTAGGTCCTATCTCAACACCAGGAACTTGGAGAACACAGGAAAGGAAGATCAGTTATCATCCTCCTGCTGGTTAACCCCTTCAGTGCTCTGCAGGGTATTATTTCTCATAAAAATAGGAAATTATTATTATTTTAATATATTTTACTAATATTAATTCATAGAATCTCAGACTGGTTTGGGTTGGAGAGGACCTTAAAGATGATCCAGACCCACCCCCTGCCATGGGCAGGGACACCTTCCACTAGCCCAGGTTGCTCCAAGCCCCGTCCAACCTGGCCTTGGACACTTCAGGGATCCAGGGGCAGCCACAGCTTCTCTGGGCAACCTGTGCCAGGGCCTCACGACCAAATTACAGTTATATAATACATATGAGAAATATTTCTCACCTTGTAACTCATTCACAATAATAACATATCAATATTTCTCCTTTCTCAATTCCTGCAATGATCAGAGTTGCAGTTTAACTGCAAATATCTCCATCTTTAAAATAAACCCAGATGGTTTTGGGGTATTTCCTCAGCACTGCTGGGATGCTCAAGGAAAGCTGTTAGTGGCAGGACTTCTGTCACCAAACTCTTCTCAAAATATCCCAACAAAAGCAAAATTCTTTTCTTCCTTCATACTGTCTTTGCATTATTACAGACAACACAACCCAGCAAGATCTAAACAGTCCCTCAGTCATTCTGACTTTCATACCAAAACTAGAGAAACCCATATTTTGCCTTTTGAACTGAAACTAATCATATAGAGAAACCACAAATTGTTTCCAGCAGGCTCCACTTCAAAAATCAGCACAATTTTCTTCTTCAACAAAGTATTTCAAGTCGACTCATTATATACAATTAAAACTCCAAACACTCGCCACAAAGCTAAACAAAAGGGATTTTTCTGGGACAAATCTGATGGAAGTTTTTTGGAAAATGTGTCTCAAGGAGATATTTAGAGAACGTTTTATGCTGGAAAAGCGTTGCCACTTTAACGTTGTGAGGTTCCTCCAGGACATCCCTCTGCAGGTCATCAGCACAGGGACATCAGGCAGCTCCTACCTCAGACCTGAACTCCACACACTATTATTGATTCTCAGGAGTTCCTCAGCTTTGGTGTCAACGTGGGATTTTTAAAGCCACTGTGTTTTAGCAGAAAAGCCAATCCCAAAAGGCTTCATCTGCTGGAGGGTGTTCCCTCAGCGAGCGTTCCGTGTCCTGCAGCTCCCGCCCTGCCTTGCACAGATGTGGAACAGCTAAAATCAGCTTTTAGGGGATGGTGGCCACTTTACCTTGGCCCTTTTCTTGCACAGCAGCACCACGATGCTCAGGAACCCGGCAGCAGCCGCGTAGCCAAGGGGGGTCAGGCCGCTCTCCGAGGCGGCATCGACGTTGGCCCCAAACTCCAGGAGCAAAGCCACCATCTCGGCGTAGCCCAGGTGGGACTGGACACACAGGATGGGGGCGTTGTTCAGGACTTCTGTCCTGTAATTCACGTTTGCACCTCCCAAAATCAGCAGCCGACTGACCTGCACGGGAAAGGAGAGGAGTTGGCTGAGAGTTCTGGAGAGACAGGAGTTTATTGTCAGGGTGACAACAGAACGTTACACCAGAGCCCTCTGCACATCTCCAAACAAACAGCAAAGGACATGAAATGCTGAGTGAAACCACTTGCCCAATAGATGGTGCCATTTTAGGTAGATGGAGCAGTTTAATCTGTCCCTGAGTGGTTGATAAGTGGTTTGAGTGGTGCAGCCTCCCTTTGTTTGGGAACAAAGTCACTCCAGCCCTGCTGCAGCAGCTGCAGACACGGCGTCTCACCCCAGGATGGGGACTGAAACCACACAGCTGGAGAGAACTGTACTCAGCATCCTTCCCCTGGGATCCTCCCTAGGGCTGGCTTTGGTTATCCCTGCACAGCTCCCTCTGCACTCGGCAGCCGTGGAAAAGGCTCCACCTGATGCTTGGAGAGTGTCAAGGAAGGGGCCTGGGGACAGAGCTCACCTAATACGGATTGGGAGGAGCTGGGACAAACATCCTTCCACATGAGGAACAATTCCAAACCTGTCTCCCTGTCTGAAATCCTTTCTGCTGCAGAGATGGGGTCATTTTAAGTCAACACATTCATCCTTACAAAGCAAAAAAGGGGCCTGAACCAGCATGTGGGCACAGGGGTTTGGTGTCACATCCGAGTTCGTGCCTGTCTAAGCCACAGCCCTTTATGCCACATTCCAACAACAGTTGTTTCATTCCACATCTCTGAAGAGGAAAACCCCCAGAGAATCATTTTGCACAGGCACAGACTCACTATTCACTCCTTGCAATTCAAAGGAGATTCCTGGTCAAAGCAGCAGAGTTGAGGGACCATCCCAGATGGTAAAACATCCCAACTGGACTCATGGCCTCTCCCCACCTCAGGACAAACACCCAGGAAGCTGCTCAGCCTGGGCAGGGCACTGCCATGGACAGGGAGCTCCTCTGGATCCTCTGTGTGTGGTTACTGCTCATCACTGGAGCTTCCTGTGCCACCCCAGCTCTCCCTCCCCCTCCTCCGGTACCTTTATGTTCGGGGTGTAGAGATTTCTCAGAGATGCCAAAGCCATGGAAAGACCTTCAGTACTGTAGGAGATCCAAAGCCCTTGGAGGATGGAGGAAGACACCCCAACTTTTTTACTCAGCCCCTAAAAAAAGAGAAGATGACTGAGACCCAAGCTCACAAATCTGCTCAGTTACTCCGGACAGATCCTCCTGGTCCTTTGGACTTCAAAGAATTTCAGGACAACAATGGCTACACCCAAAATAATGCAATGATTTGCCACATCTGACCTTTGCAATTGATTAAAAAAATGGTAGTAAAGGTTGTGCAGCCATTTCCAGGGTCTAGAAAAGGCAGGATTAAACTGTGAGCAACCAGAATCCGTTCAACACCCTCACCAAGCGTCGTGCTAAAGGTGCACAGATTGCTGCCTTTTCTTTTTTTTCTTTTTTAATAAAGTACACGTTATTTTGGCAGGACTGATTCACAAATTTCCTTATTATTCACACAGTTAAACCAGAAGACAATGTCTGCTCACAATAAGGTAAGTTAAGGAACTCTCAACCACAGCCTGGAGCGGTATTCCCCCTTCTCATCTCTGACCTTTCCTGCTGGTGTCCATGATCAGGTTATACAGAACACACAGGAAGTCTGACGTTTTCCAGAAAGATTCCAAAATATGAAATATTTTCCAGCATCACTAAGTGGCAGAGCACAGAACTGTAGGTTTCTCCCTCCTATGCAAAGAGCCATAATTGCTCTGCAGCCAACAGATGGGAGTGAACAGCTGGATGGAAGAGGAGAGGGATGGGATTGGAGCTCCAGGAAGGAGCCTGGCTGCGTGCTGTGCTCGCTGTGTGATGTGGGTACACCCTAAACGTTGCTGTTCTGATCCATTTCCCATTAAAACCTGCTGTTTCCATGGAAACTGCACAGACATCCTTAATTCTGTTTTGATATGCAAACCCTGATTCCCACTTCCTCGCACGCCGGGGGGTCACTTGTATCCGTGCAAAACAGCAGGATCACAGTTCCAGGTTGTAGGACTGAAAAGGTGGGAACAAAACCAGCAGCAAAAAGTGGGATTGTTTCCTCTTAGGGAAGACATGCAGGAATCAGCATCTCCACCTGCTGCTGGACTCGGCTGCAGGCCTGACGTGGGGAAGAGACTCCACAGCATCGCTCCAGCCATCAACAGATTTGTCACTTGGAACAGTTTTATCACCAAAAGAAGCAACAGATTACACAAGCTCTTATAAATAACAGCTCCATGTGCTTGTTTCCTTAAAATTCAGGCAGCTAAACCGAGAAAAAGATCTGCTTGTGCTAAGAGAAGAAGAGACCTCAGGAATTTGAGCCACTGCTAAATGCAGCTTTTGAAATGACACAATGCAGGACATTAAAGGTCAAGATTAAATTTCATGAACTCAGAATAGTGTAATTGGGAAATGGGAAACAATTTTATAATAAACAGTTAAAACAATTTAAAAATTGTTATACTACTATCAAGCCCATAAATAAGGTGTTTGAATCACCATCAAGGACCAAGGAAAAGGGTAGATATTTTGAGAACAGCCCTCTGAAGATAATTACAGATGCTATAAAAATCTTAACTTGCATTAGAATATATATGCTTAGATATTAGTGCAAGACCTAAAAGGTGACATTTATCCTTTAAAGAAAAAAATACATTCAACACCATCAGCATTCAATTGCTGAAAAAAACCTGCACTATTTCTCATTTTACAGCTTGTATCTTCCTTTTCTTATATTCCCTTAACAGAATTGTACAGGCTGAATCCTTCAGCAAAAGCAAATTTCAGTGTGATACAACATCAAACCAAAATACCACCAGTGGTTCCCACTTCACTGGGATCATCCAAAATGGGACCAAGGCATGGCCTGACCATCTGAATAACTTTGCCAACCCTCACAACCCCAGTGTTCAGAGCTGGTTTCTTCTGTCCTGTCTGGTATGCAGCTGTCAGCACCTTCAATTTTTGACTTATCACTTCCTCTGCTATTTGGCAACTTGCACCTTACAGACTCCCAGACTGGTTTGGGTTGGAAGGGACCTTAAAGACCATCTCATTCCACCCCCTGCCATGGGCAGGGACACCTTCCACTAGACCAGGTTGCTCAAAGCATCATCCACATCTGGATTACTGACATTTTAACTAATTTAGGATTAAATTAAAGCCTCCTCTTTGCTTGATTGGAAAACATACGTCAGCCTGAAGTTTGGGTCTTCTTGTACGACAACTGCACATTTCTCTTTGTGCCCTTTCACTTCCTGCCAGGCTTTCCAAGCTGGCTTTCCATATGCTCCTGTTAAGACTGGTAACTGATTAAAAAGATTAAAATATTTTACTTTTTCTCCCCCCCCCCCCCAACTGTTTGAGGATGTTTGTGTTTAAAAGAGAAAACCAGCAGATCTCAGCCAGCAAGTGAAGAGCAGAATGTGAAAGTGTCTTCCCACCAATGTGTCAGGTCAGCACCTGAATTTTTACACCTGGAAATTCCAAGTGTTCCATCATCACCTTGTCAAGGTACCAGAGGATTCAAACTAGTAAGGACTGGGGAAGGATAAAGAAATTTTCTGCACTGTTTTATCAAAGTTTGTCTCTATACCCAGCTCTCAGCCTCCAAACAAAACGCTTTAGTCCTGTTCTAATCTTCTCCTAGCTTTCTGATGGGTAAATAAAATGGAATTACAATGGCATCAGGCCTCCATAAATACCTTCAAAATTAAGATGTTTGTGTCTGCAGAAAGCTGCTGCTTTAATATGGGAACTTGAGGAAGAACATCCTGAATTGATGACCTGACACGTTCCCTACTTGGCAGAAAACCCACGGCCAGGCCGGTAATGCTTCAGCAAAAGATCAGACAGAAAGAAAAGCTTGAATGGAAAAAATGCTTGTTTAGAAACAAATAGAGCTGGTTACAACAGGCAAAGAGTCCTTGATTGTACTCTAGGAAATATTTTGTTTAAAGAATGCTCAAGATCTTAAACACGGTCTGTAATATTCCAGCCTAATGCCTCCTTCAGAAACTAATGCAGCTCTTGTTCTGTGCAGTAAACACTCACAAATCCACAGTAAACACTTGTTAAAATAAGGAACAAAAATAAATCTATTCAAGGAAAAGCAAAAGACTAAGTTACAGTCTGTAATCTAGCTAATTCGAACCCTTCCAAAAGTTTGTGGTACTTCCAACCAACGTTCTGTTTTGGTTTTCTGTCACTGGTCTTCCTGCAGTGTTGGATACCCAAAGGTTTTGCTGAGTGATGAGGAACAGAAGGTTGGAGTGACATTTCTCATATGCTAATTGGCTTTTTCTACTATTGTAAATATTGCTCAATTAAACCTGGAATCTGTAGACAGCTCGTCCACTCCATGAAAATTGTCCTTTGCTCAGAGCCTGAATCCCTGTTATTGGTTTCCACCATGGAAGTGTGGAATGGAGAAGGTCTGGAACCAGATTCAGATCTAAATGGCAGCTGAGCAGTAAACTCAGGGCTGAATCTGGCATTGGGAATGTAACTCAAAATGTGAAATGACACCCTGAGGATAAAGTGCTGAGCTGGGGTTCTTCCCTTTGGATCCAGACTTTGCTGCTACACCTGATGGGGAAACTGGTGCAGTATTTATTGCCCAGGGAATGCAATATATAAGTCCAACAGGGCTGACACAAAGCACAAACCACCTGTTTGCTCTAGGAATACCCACAGCAGTGCTGAAGTTATAAAATCCTGTATAGACCAGATGAAAGTACAGCCTTGTTTTTACCGGTGTTAAACACTCACAGATCCCAACAGTTGCAAGAAATTCTTTATTTCCTGTGACCTTAAAAATCCATCCTCTAATTTCGATCCTCTGGTACCTGGGCAGGCAGGAAGAATGATATTTATGGGTCATACTGATGGTCACACCTGAGTTTGCCTTTCAACTACCCAGGTCTGAAATGTCTGTGTGAAGAGGAACATGGAGTGATCAGCCAATGTTAACAACCAGCAAATTTCCCCTTTACAACCTAAATTTAGCGTTGGATTCTTCAAATCCGCTTTTAAAAGATTTCTCTTTTCTAGATGCTGTTACAAGAACTCATCTTACAGGGGAGGAAACCTCTTAGGCTGTAGAGCAATTTTGAGGGAAGGAGGCTATCTGCCCAATTTACAGGCTGAAGGAGGGTTTAATTTCAAGCATTTCGTAGATACCATTGCCAATTTCCCAAACTTCTACTCGCTCCAGCAGCCTCAGGCAATCACACTCTTACACCAACCCCACGACCAGACACGACTGAGCACTGCCAGTGCTGGGGATGAGCTTGGTGTTAAGTGTTCATTTGAATTTTTGTTACCTTAAAAATATGAGCTTTGAGAATGTGATGTCCCAGTTCAATAGTTTGCTGTCGATTTAATTTTCCTTCTTGTCGGGAAAACCAGAAGGCAAGTAGGGTGTGGCCACTCCTAAAAGCAGAAGAAAGAGTGTGTTAGGATTTCTTGTTACACCAAGAAAACAACTTTTGAAGGTAATTTTTGCCCCTTTTTGCTAATCCTTCAACCTCATCCAGCTTTGGGAAATAGAGGTGGATGAATTCTCGCTTGTGAAGCACCAATTAATTGTAAACACTGATAGCTCAAAACACCCCAAACATTGGAGGACAGCAAAAAAACCCCACCCAATAGATTTTCTATGAGCAGATGTAAATTTGAGAACAGCAGAGGTACAATTCCATGAAAACTGAAGTTTTCTAGTCATTTTACAGAGAAGAACCACACTTGCAAAGCATGTCACCAACCCTGGAGTCACTAGAAAATGCCATATTTAGAATATCCACACTTTGAAAAAAATGTCCTTTAAACGACATCTGCACTTTCCACCCTGTGCCAGTCCTGCAGTGAAGCTTTATTTCTTTGTAAACACATTCTCCAGTAATAAAGATGCTTCTGGCCATGACCTACCAAGTTGACAACCAAAGCAAATTAACTGAGCAACACACCAAGACCTGTTTAAGGCAAAATATAATAAACCAGACAACAACTTCCACCGCTAAAGGTCATTTTTATTGACATTTTTAAACATTTACAGACTTCCAGCTTGTAACACTGCAAGTCTAACATGGCTGAATCTTCCCAAAGATGTGAGAAGCTAATTCTCCACAGACACACAAAACACTCAGGGTGCAAAAATGTGAAGTTTTAATATAATTTCTGGGCAAAGCAGCAAATACCTGCCCCTGTAGGAGATGCAGCAAGCAGGGCAGGAGCTGCTGAGGCTCCACGCTGGAACCTCGGTGGGCTGTGTCTGCTGTTTCCTTGGTTTTACCAACAAAATTACATTCTTCCTTAAGCCCCTGGGTGCTCCCAAGGGAGCCCTTTTAACCCACTTCATTTCTGGAACTGCATAAAAATGTGACTACACTAAAAGCAATCAAACCCCTCCCGGCCAAGGAAAATAAAACATGAGATCAACCGTGGCTTTAAAAGGGCTTTTAAGGACAGGGAATGTTATTAGCTCATCCCTGTCTGGTAAAGCAAAGAAATCCTTGGGATGGCCAAACGTCAAGTAAATATTGCACAGGATAGAAGCTTTCACAACGGTGGGGATTTACCAGCTCATCCACATCCAGGGGGAATGATTTCCCATCTCAAAATAAACCAGAAAAGAATAAAAGCACGATGCTTGTAATGCCCTGGCCAGGTGTCTGGCAAGGTCCCCCCCAAGGCCCTGCCAACGAACCTCCTTTAGGAGCAGTAACACATGGATTCATGGGAGTGGGGCCTGGGGATGCCCTGCCAGTGGATGTGCCCACTGGAGGAGTGGGATGAGAAACAAATCACCTTTTTCTTACAAGGCAAGGCTTGATCCTCAGGTTTGGACAGGTGGAAGGGCACCAAATCCTTTTTACAGGTAATAAACTCTTGCACTGGTGAGGAATCCTGCTGTGCCTCGTTCCAGAATGCAACTCCATTTACAGAGGCACCATCAACTCAAGTAACTGTTGTCTGAAATGTTTTTATGGACTGACAGTATCTCCATCCTCAGGGTGACTTGAGCACCAAAAGAGAGTGAGGAAAATCCCACTTTTTGCCAGGCAAGCTGCTCTCCACACCCTGGCCTGGCACAGGGCCCGTGCCGGGATCCCATCGCTCCACACTTCCCATCCGTGGAGAAGGAGAAGCCTCTCCAGATGGTGACTCTGCCCAGCACAACAGAGCTTTGATACCTCAGCTGAAGCTTCAGAGCCGTGAGGATGCCTCTGTGCACAGGGCAGTGCCTCCCATCCCACACGTCTGTGCTGTGAGAATTCCCCAAATAGCACCAACAGAAGGGACAAAACACAAAAAGCTGGGACAACAGAAGGGCCTTGGAAGTGGTTGTAGCACCTTGAGCTAACCACAGCCTGTTGACTTCCTTTGGCTCTTCTCCTCTTTGGAATGGGAGGAGGACATCAGATCACAGCCTTTTGGAAGAGACAGACAAATGAATTTACACTCCAGGAATGCCCGTGGGAAGGAGGAATGGATCAGAAGGAAACAAGTGACTGAAACACAGCTTGAGTGTTGCCAGGTACAGCTGGAAGTCAAGGGCAGCAGCAATTGCTGGGTTTTATTTGGCCCCATTCAGCCAGATTATGGAAACTTGTATTTGCTGTTTATATATACACATATTGCAATAAATCACCAGATTGATGATGCTGTGGTTGTCATTTGGAGAAGGGTCAAGGTGTTCATCTCCATGTAAAGGTTGGTGCTGCAAGGTCAAGAACTTATAGAGGGTGGACAGGAGAACTGGAGAGGGACTTTGGACAAGGACCTGGATGGACAGGACAATGGCTTCAAAGTGACAGAGAGTAGGTTTAGATTAGATACTGGGAAGGAATCCTTCCCTGGGAGGGTGGGGAGGCCCTGGCACAGGTTGCCCAGAGAAGCTGTGGCTGCCCCTGGATCCCTGGAAGTGTCCAAGGCCAGGTTAGAGCAACCTGGGCTAGTGGAAGGTGTGGCTAAGGGGGTAGAACTGGATGATCTTTAAGGTCCCTTCCAGCCCAAACCATTCTAAGGTTCTGTGATTCCACGAATGAGAGGTATCAGCTCCTTCCCTTTGTGAGGATCAGGAACAACATCTTGCTGCTCCAGATCGAGAGTGGCTGCACACAGGGAGCCTTCAGCCACCCCCCTCTGCCTTGTGTTCCACATCACAGGAGAGCAAATAACAGCAGTTGTTTGTTTGCTGTTGGAAACCCCTTTGATAACTTTTGGGAAGGCCCTGAATGGAGCTGTAACTGCATTAATCCCACACATGAACTGAAGATCCAGAAGCTTCCAAAGTGCCTGTTCTTCGCAGCAGGAGCTGAAGTGCAGCTCCCTCCTGACACACCAGCCCAGGTTCCACAGTCAGCTCCTACACTGCTTTTCAGCTGCAGCTGGAAGGGTATTTACCCAAAATTAATTACAGACATGACTTTGGTGTTATGAATAAGGCATGTACGAACTATTCCAGAATAAAGTACAGGATTCATGAGTAATACATTACCTCTGCTAAGCTTCCCAGACCTTGGCTTTGGGCTGGCTGATAAACACTTGCAGTCACTTGTTCTGTCAGTGTTAATTGGAAACCAAACCAGACTGCAAGAGCAGAGGCTTTTTATTTATTTTATTTTTCTTTTTTTTTTTTTTTTAGTAATACAGGAGAGTGGCAGTAATGATTTCTACATCAAGGAGCTCGGTGAAATGATTTGCTTTGAGTCTCACCACTGCAGAGTTTATCATCAGAGATTTTTCTATTTTTAATGTCAGATTTCTTTTTTTGGTGAAAAATTAATAGCCCTGCCAGCTCAGTTTCTGCAGCTTTTGTCTGCTCTCAGTGCCTGTATCGACTCCTGGGATGGCCAGGGCTGTCTGCCTGGATGGGCACATATGTGTGTGTGTGTATATATATATATATATATATATATATATATATATATGTAAAAAAGACATAAAGATGAGTCTTCATCCTTCCAACCCCCTACACAGCACAGCCCAGTGCACACCTCCAGCAGCTCTAAGGAATACAAATATTAATGAAAGCTGTACATGGGCACAAGGGGAGATCACAGAAACATGGATTGGTTGCATTGGAAGGAGCTTTAAAGCCCATCCAGTGCCACCCCCTGCCATGGGCAGGGACACCTTCCACTAGCCCAGGTTGCTCCAAGCCCTGTCCAACCTGGCCTTGGACACTTCCAGGGATCCAGGGGCAGCCACAGCTTCTCTGGGCAACCTGGGCCAGGGCCTCCCCACCCTCCCAGGGAAGGATTTCTTCCCAATATCCCATCTAAACCCACTCTCTGTCAGCTTGAAGCCATTCCCCCTTGTCCCCCTGTCACTCCATGTTCCTATAAATAGATGCTGGATGTGCTCCCCACACATCTGCTCCCTTATCCACCCAAATCTGAGGCACACACAGCTCTGGGCACAGAGCAGGGGGATACAGGGAGTTGGTACCTCAAGCACACCCCTGAAATGACACTGCCCCTTGTGACACAGATGGAAGGGGACAAGGTGTCACTAATAAAAAAAGAGATTAAAGGGTGTAAAATTACTCCAGCATTAAGGCACTGCAGCACTGGAGTAAAACACTGGCAAAAAACCAAATGAGAATCAGTCCTGTTCACTTCTGAACCCACCAAATTCCCTGATTTATACCCATATCTCCCTTCTTCCAGCTAATCCCACGAAAACATTCCAAAAGCAAGAGATTTGACACTGTGCCCAGCGAATCTGGTCTTCCAAAAGCCGTGTATTCATATTCTATTCAGCTCTGCAGAGTGCAATGATTTAACTCCAGTGCAGAGACTCGTGTGCTCTGACAAAGCTTGGAGCCTCTTCCCTTGCAGAAGGATGTCCAGATGTCTGTCCTGGCTGCAGAAGGGCCAAGCTCAGCTCCATGAGCTCCTCTTGAAGGATCAGTTAATCACCAAAGTTGATTTACTGATTTTTGTAACGCAGCTCCCCTCTGATGTTGTAACTGCAAATTAACTTGGAAGGAATTAACATTTTAAAAGAAAATCCCAACAAACCAGGGAATGCTCTTCAGTACATGCTATTCTTTCCTACGGAATCAAACACTGGCTTAATTTGCTGAGCTAACTGGGACAGCCAAGTTCAAAGCCAAGAAAAACTTTCCTGTCCCTTGGGTCAGATCTCATTGCAGAGAGAGAAGCTGTGGAGTATCTGCTCAAACACCATCACCCTGCCCAGAAGTCACTGAGGACACAGCAGTGGTGTGCTACCAATTCCAGCTGCTGTAGGAACTGCAGACACACTTCTGGTGAGCAGGACAAGGATCCCAAGCCAGCAGGGCTGCTGCTTGCTTTCTTCACCATAACACACTCAAAACATCATCACAACTGTTCACAACCCAGAGCAACATCTCATGGCCTCAATCATACACTAGAAATCCATCACTGTGGGCAATAAAAGAG